GGGGAGGGAGGTGGAAAAAGTAGGCAAGGAAGAGCTTTTGACTGTGATCGAGTCAGAGCTCGGCTTGCATGATTACGACTTTGACGACATTTATGCCTTTTTGTTCGATCTTTTTTTTGTCTCTTCATATTGGGGAACTCATCAGCCTGCGAGGAGTTGTTCATCAAGAAAAGTTTTGCATTGTCTTTCTTCTTATTTTGTCGGTCCTGGTCACGAATTTTGCTCTTTGCACCACAGAGGAATGCCATTACGACTTGCACAGACTCAAACTCGGCTTTTATCGTGTAGTTGAGAACACCTTGAGAGCGGAAGACAGATTTAGAACGTAACAGCCTGAATAACACAGTTTGATGCGGAAGCTCGCGTAGTCAATTCATCGACGCCCATGCGCAAAGCCCGAATCCAGACGCAAAGAGTCCTCCATTTTCTGCGCTTACTTCTGAAGCCGGTCCAGCTCCTCCAAAGTCTTCCCCAGCACCCGCGCGATGTGACGCCCGTCCTCCCTGACCTCGTCGTGCTTGCCCCTCAGATCGCGGAAGGCGAGGGTGCGCACGCCGCTCTCGCGCAGGGCCCGCTCCATGGTGTCGCACTCGCCCATGTCCACCAGCTCGTCGTCGGGCGACTGGGCCACCACGGCCAGCCTGACCACGTCGCCAAAGGCCTCGCGGTAGCCGCGCCAGAGGCCCGGCGCAAGAGCACGCCACAGGGCCTTGTCCGGCCCGTACGCGCCCTCCGAGATGGACTGCAGGGCGCCGCCGCACCGCTCGTTGATGCCGTCCAGGTCGTAGAGCCCCTCGACGCCGACGATAGCCGCGGGCAGGGGGACGCCGTCGTCGGGCTGCTGGCGGCCTGGCGCCGAGGATGGAGAGGTGGTGGCGGCGGTGGTGGTGGTGGTGCGCAGTGCGTCGTTGCCCATGAGCACCTGGAAGGCGAGGGCGGCGCCGCACGAGTGGCCGGTCAGCACGTAGGTGCCGCTGTCGACGCCGACGTCCAGGCGGCGCAGGTAGGCGAGGGCGGCGCGCACGTCATGGATGTGGTCTGGATGATGGGCATGGCGCAGATCGTATGCGGGGACGCGCTCCGGGTCCTGGGGGAAGTCTGGGTGGGAAGAGAGGCGGTAGTTGATGGTGGCGAAGCCGGCAATGCGGGACTGGGGGATGGGAGAGTCCAGCGACAGGAGGCGGTTGATCGTTGGCAGAGCTGTATCCACTTTACGAGAGGAAAGGAACGGCGAGGAAGCAGCCCGTTAGTCCAGAAGGTTCTTTTTGAGAAGGGGGGGAAAGGGGGAGATGTGATGCTGAGTTGTCCCAGCATGAGGTGGTTCACCTACTCAGGCAAAGAGGGTCGCGCCAGGCGCCACCGTGGATGTATCTGTGATGAACCGAGTGTCAGAAGGTGCACCAGTGTCTGCTGATCACGTACATGTGTGGTGTGTTGTCCGTCTATGCGCCCTCTCCGCCGTCTTCGGACGTCGGTAGAGGTGACACAGCAGGCTGGGGAAACCTACATGAACCAGTATTTGTCGCCCTCATCCGTACTGTCTGCGGCCGCTGTTGCTGCTACTGGAGAACAAGCATCGTCCGGGAACTCCCAGATTCCGAGAGTCTGGAGGAAGTTGTCCGTCCCATAGGCGTGCTCGGTGTACCGCAAAGTGTCGGCCATGGTGGCGAAAGCTGCCCTTTCTAGCAAAGGCGCGCGGATCTTGACGTCAATCTCGGAACAACGTGTGGTCCTCTCTTGAGTGCCTTGAAGGGCTTAAGAAATGATGTGTCTGATTCTATCTAGCACATTCACTATCCGGCCATGTAGATGTACGGCGTGAGAGGAACAGGAAGAGATCATGAGGTGATGCCGGATCCGATTCATCACGACGACCGTTGATAACCGCCCGCCCGTGACGGCGGCCGGAAAAGCGGGTAGAGCCCGTCCCCACCTTTTTGTCTTCTTCCGCGACCTGCGTCCCATTTCTTGGTGTCGCAATGCCGGGTATGGTCCGTCAACACAGAAGGACGGGTGAGTCGAGACTTGGGAGGCTTATCACAGATGGGGGGTTCCGTCGCCGGTACGCTCAATCAAAGGTCTGCAGTGGTAGCCAGTATTAGCCTTTGGTAGCCAGCCAGTCTCGATCCTCCCTCCAAAGTTGCAGAAGCGGCCGCTCTGCAGGGGTGGGTTGCATCATCAATTAGACGGGCTTCCATTCCGACTCGTCTTCACAAGGTGACAGAAGTGACAGGAGGTGATAGAGATGCGTCTGCCGTAGAGTCTCTTGCAATTCACACGAGTGTCTCGGCCTGAATCCTCCACGCGAACTAATAGAATAGGTAGTCTGCTTCATGTGATGGCAAGGCCAGAGGCGCAGTGTTTCAAGCCGTGGAACCTGACATGCACGGCATCCATTGGCCAGCCCTGTCCTTGGCATACAGCTGGAAACATTCCATGCCCAACAACATGCGGGCGGGCTGTTGGTGCCGGTGATTGCAGTGTTCCATTCGCTTTGCCCTCTGTCAGCTTCTTCCCTTCCCCTTGTTTTCCATCTTGGGACTACCAAGCAGCGTTCGTGGCTATCTTCATTTATCAGACCCATGATATATAGGTGGTGAACGATGGTGATAATGCCTCGTTAACACATGCGTAAGCAAGGGACCTGCATGATGGACACTTCCGCCCTGTCTTGCTGGAGCGACCTACGGAGCATAATTCCTGCCCCCGGTCTCATACTGCCGATCTCGTGGGCGACCCCTGCGGCCCTTGCCGGAACATGACCTCAGCAGGGGATGGTTAGCTATGTCCAGTCCCAAGCAGAGATAGACCATCAGGAGCACCACAAACCCGGGCTTGTTGGTCGGGGAATGCTGGCAGTGCACCCGGATGGTGTGTGAGAAGGAGAGAAGGAAAAGAGAAGGAGGAGAGAAGGCTGTTGTTGCTCCCTTGCCGTGTGCCGTTTCTGGCTCTGGAAAACTCCGTACGAAGTCAGACTATTGCAAGCCACTCTGCGTCAAAGCGCAAGGCTTCTCCGCTTATGAGCTAGTTGTGGGAAAAGCTAGCCAGGCTCGCCAGACAAGAACACGCGCGCTTTTCACGCATAGTGGGCTTTCGCCAACTCTTTCCTCGCTGGGTATGCCTTGAGCTGTGCTCACCAACCTTGCACGAGGCACTCATCCCCCCCCTCCTCCTCCTCCTCTCTTCGACTGATTCATTGCCACGATGGAGACCCCGATACGGAGCCGGTCCATGCCTCTTATGGCTGAAGATACATGAACAGGTCGATAGCGCAGGTAGAGCTTGGCTATTTTCTGACCTAGCGGGTCATCCCATGAGAACCATGAGGACGGCCAGCTCCTTCTAAGCCCTACTTCGTAAGCGCGATGGTCCAAGCGGGCACTTGGGGTGAATCCTCCCTACAAGTACTCCGTAATCATGTACAAGTATTCTGTCCTGGTATATCCTGGCGAGGGCATAATAATCTACGAAGTAGTGTTGGGATCCATCCTTGTCAGGCTCTCCAATCCTGGTAGCAATCAACCTCCGTCGCTCACCCGGTCGCCCGCTTACTCGCCTCCACCTCTAACGTTAGCAGGGTCGGGATGATACTCTGAGACATTGCCAGACACGACAGGTCAATGCCGCGCCGACTGAACCCTTTCCCTTTGAAAGAAAGGTCTCAGCGAGCGTATGTGTGTTTGAGCGCATCTGTTCTTTGCGATTGGGTCTTTTCGAGTCAAGGGAGTCCCCGGCCCTGACCTGGCAATTCTTGAAGAACGACGAGAGATACACCCGCGCAGACCTTGGATCCCAAGACGCGGATGACAGTGCCGATCAGGGGTCTGAGCTCCTCTTCCTGGGATTTCCATCGCATGAAGCTCAACATCCCAGGCTGTGTGGTGGGGGCCTCCACCAGCTGAAAGGATGAAACGCCCCTGTTCCCCCCCAAAATCACGTCGTCGTCACGACTCCCCGTCGAATCCATGGCTGCCATGCGACGGTGGAGTTTTTCTCTGGTCAAGACTCTCAAAGAGGGACCACAATGCTGCGACATGTAGCGTTTACTCCGTTCTGTCAACGATGGGCGTCTTGGCGTCATTGACTGCGTGCAGTCACCTCACCTACTCGGTTCATGCAGCACCCGGCGTGGCCTCCTTGACTCGCTGGACAACAGGCTTCGGGGGGCTCTTCTCCGTCCAGTACTTTTGGGAGCGAGTCGAACCCTTCCACACGGGATGCCTGCCGATAGGCGAACCCGGGCAACCCTAGCGTGTCTAGGTAGTCAAGGCCAGCCCGGCCACTTGCAGGTTCTCGAGTGTTTCTGACTCGAGACGATTGCTGCCCATCCCGACCGACTTACAAAGGTGAGGTGGAGAGGAGGTATACTCTCCGTATCCCTACCCGTATACCTACTTCGTACCAGCAGAACGCATGAAGGGACACACTCCGTATATCATAGCATGGCCAAGAGGCACGGAGCATGCCGATACTTACCAGAGCTAAGGAGACCCCAAAGATCAAGTGGAAACATGCACGAAGCACAGAGTGCAGTAGTTAGGTACTTGCCCTGGGGTCAAGCCGGCCGCATTCCAAATTACATGTCCCGCTTCTTTAGCATCTCACCATCTCACCCGGGACGGGCTGTCTAGTCCCGCAGGAGAAAACGGTCCTGCCCTCCACCATGATTGCCACTCTGATGTAAGTACTGTAGGTAGGTACTCTCTGTTTCTTTCTGTCTCTCCCCATCTACCTGTCTTCTGAATAGTTGACGGAAGTTCATCAGGAGCTACCTCAATCTTAACAATCAATATCCTTGTCACATCCTTGCCCTAGAACTCGGAAGGGCTATCCCACTACCTAAATCCGACGGGCTTGATGGATAGTCAAGTACTTCTGTTAGCAGTCCGTCAACTAATCTGACCATCACTTGCCTGTCTACCTACGTCGGGGTCTGCCTCTGTTATCCTCCCCCAACGACTCGCCTGTGCACGTACGGCCGTCGTTGACCACCAAATTACCCATACAAGTACCTGCATGCTGCATACAACCACAGGATCCCTCCCAGCTGAAGGCCAGCCATGCTACTGCCCGTCTAAAAACGTGGTTCCTGCAGCAAGCCTTCTCCACCCCAAGACGAGTTGGTTCTCAAGTAGTCGACCCATCCTCGCCGTAGTCTCTTGGCTATCGCATGGTGGGAAGGATCCTCCCGTCTTTGCGCCATTACTATGACACTCTCTGCCTGTCGAGGCTTCTCTTTTCTTTCCTTCTTTCTCTCCTTTTCCCTCTCCCGTCTGACATAACTACCATATCCTCCTCTATCTTGTTGTACACCAATCGACTGGCCAACATGGCCTCCGTCGATCTGAGCCAGTACAATGGCGGCTCGTTGATCGGCGTTGCCTCAACTTTTCTCGTCCTCACCTGGGTATCCGTGTTCCTGCGGTTCTATGTTCGAACCCAGTTGACCAATGGTTTCCAATCCGATGACTGGTTCATGTTGGTTGCGCAGGTAAGTCAACTCTGGCACATTGTATGTGTATGCCACCAACTGACGAAAAAAACTTTCAGGCCAATTTCACACTTTCTTGTGCCTTTATTCTCCAGGGTGTCAAGAGCGGGATCGGAAGACACAACAAGGCATTGGATCAAGCGAGCGAAATCGACGCGCTGAAAGTATGGTCTCTCGATGCCTCGTGCCCTCTTGAACGCACAGATACTGATAATTCGATGTGGCACAGTGGCAAGCGCTGGCAACAGCTACCTACATCACCAACATGATGTTTATCAAACTCAGCATCGCCCTGTTCCTCCTGCGACTGGCCACTGCCAAACGATACAAGTGGATCCTCTGGGTCAGCATGAGCATCATCGCCATCTGGTCTCTGGTGGCCTTCTTCTGGGACGTGTTCCAGTGCAACCCAGTCGAGGCCCAGTGGGACTTTACCATTCCCAACCAGACGTGCGTGACGCCCGACCAGATCGTCAGCGCCGCCTACGCCCTCAGTGTCATGACCATTCTGTCCGACTGGCTCTACGCGCTCCTGCCCATTGCCATGATCTGGGGCGTGCAGATGACCAAGCAGGCCAAGATTACGGTCAGCATTGTCCTTGGGCTCGGTATATTGTATGTTGAAACCGCCGGCCGTGTCACGGGGCCATGTGTCGTCTTACTAACTGGCTCTGGGTGGTGCAGCGCTTCGATAGCGACACTGATCAGGCTCAAGTTCTTGTCCGACCTGAACGACACTGCGGACATTCTTTGTGAGTCTGCCGCGCCGACCATGTGCAAACTGCTCACCTCCATGTGCTATACTAACCCGGGTGGCTCAAAACACAGTTCAAGGCACTGACGCAATGGTGTGGACCCTCATCGAGCCGGGCGTCGCCATCGTGGCCGCCAGCCTGGTCACCATCCGCCCGCTGCTCCGCAAGCTCCGCCTGCCCGGATTCACCTCGCACGAAGGCAAGAGCGGCCCCACGTACGGCCGCTCCGGCGGAGGCCGTCCCGGCGCCGGCTATGCGAACAATAACAACATCAACATGAACAACAATAAAAGACATAGCGCCTTCCGCCCGCCCGGCGCCATGCCGGGCTTCGGCCCCGGCGACCTGACGCTCATTGACCTCGAGACGGGCGACACGGCGGCCCCACCGCCCGGCCGGGCAGACCGCGAGCCCACCCACAAGTTCTACTTGGAGCGGTCGCTGGCGCCGTCGTCCGCGCCGGCCGCCGTGGGCAACAAGACCGAAGCGCAGAAGCAGCAGCAGACGACGACACGCGAGCGCGCCGTCGGCCTGTCACCGGAGGATGTCCTCGACGCTTCCGCGCCCCACAAGACCCAGCGGGGCCTGACCATTGCCGAGGACTCGGGCAGCGAGGCATCGGTCTTGTCGGGCGAGGGCCAAAAGACGGGGAGGAGCGAGGTCTTCATCATCGAGGGGCCGAGGGAGTCGGGCCGGCGAACGAGCATACACACCGAAGACCTGGACGGTCACGACGACGGAAGCCAGATCGACGGCCGAGGCCGGCACGAGGCTAGGAAGAAAAAAGAATGCGACCCATTCGCGGATGAAGGCGGGCACTGACAAAACTCTTGCGCGGTTTTCAAGCGGATTCACGGCGTTTTTTTTCTTTTTTTGGATGGGCATAGAGGACTCTTCGCAAGTTCCGATACAATCCTTCGAGGATTCTGATGTGGCTTTTTATGCGTTTGGAGTTCTTCTTTTCATCCTCGGAAATGAGGATCTTGGGATGATACCACGGCAACTTTTATAACGCCTTCATTTTCCAGAAGGCAAGGGAATGGGAACGCGATATGGAATTAGACAAATGCAGTATTTATGACCACACCAGACGTATATAGGCCTCGATGGCATGCAGATATAGAAGAACCAAGATCTTTGACATCAATGCTGGCTCCTCTTGAGTATAGGAGACATGTGAGCCAGGTCATAAAGTCATATCTGAATTGCAAGACGCAGAGAGAGTGAGTCATGTAGGGTATCGTTAAATTGGTTTTGTAGAGCATCGCCAGTCCTGCCCAGTCCTATCGACAGCAGCTACGACTATCCACTAGTGATACAATGGTCATGAGTTAATCATACAGGCTCTGCGACTTCCCACCGAGATCCTTATCCTGAGGACATTCCAGGGATAGTCCTGCATCAGTCCGTTGCCTGGCTGTCAATCAAACCTCGATCGCCAAGTCCTCCGGATCGACCTCCCACTCCTCCTCGTCGCCAAGGATGGGCGCGAGATTGAACTTGCCCCTGATCTTGCCCAGTCCATACGCCTCGCCGGCCGCTTGATGGCTGCTCAGACCATCCATGGTGGGCTTCCGATCCGCCTCCTCGAGCAACACCACCGTCGTCAAGAACTGGGCATCCATACCCTGGCTCATCTCAAATATTTGCCCGCCCCAGCTAAGCTCCGCCTTGCCTGATTTGCGAATGTTCAGCATGCCGAGAAATCCGCCCTGGCCGATGTTGTTGGCGTTGGCCGTGCCACTGGCGTCGGCGACGCCGTCTTCCTTCTTGACCTTATCGTCTCCGGTAGTAAGATCGACGGTGGAGGGGTCCCTCACCGCGACTTCATCGAGCATTACGACATCGTCGGTGGGCTCTTCCTTGACCGGGATCTTATCCTCCAGCCTGACGGTATGTAGAGGCGGAACGACAGGCGGGAACTGGAAGAGATAGATCAGGCCCTCCTTGCTCTCTGGTTGCGGTGCCTCGGCTGGAGTCTGGCCCTCCTCTTCAGCGTTGCCTTCGCCCTGCGGCTTCTCGACACCCTGGGTGCCAAGCTCACTAAGCATCACTTGAAGCCGTTCTTCGGCGATGATGTCTTCCTGTTCCTTGATTGCTGGTTTCTTTCTCTTTGCTGCTTGTGCTTCTTTCCCCTTGGTTGGCTTGGCCTTGGACTTGGCGTCCGATCGGGGTTCTGACTTGGACTCTGACTTGTCCTTGTTGGCTAGTTGTTGGCGCCTCCTCGCTAGTTCCGAAATATCTGTCACCTCTTCTGGTTCGCCGTCCTCGCCTTCTATCTTGACCGTCCGCGTCTGAGGCGCTCCTGCCCAAACTTCATTATCCTCCTTCATTTCGTCACCCTCTGGCACAGCAGCTTGCTCATCTCGGTCGTCCTGGACAAAGATGTCTGAGCCCGAGTCTTCGGCAAGTGCTTGCTCCTGGGCTTCGAGCTCCGCAGTTGTTGCGACAACTACCTCGGGTTCCTTGTGCTCTTGCCTCAGGATACCCATCGGTAGAACCTGCTTCTTCTGCCTGACAGACAGAGCGCCATGTCGGCTCTCCTGTTTGACATCATCTGCGAACTCGCTGTCGAACCCGCCAAACATGTCCGTGTTGAGTCGGCCTTCGAGCTCTTGAGGATAATCGCTGTAAGAAAATCGGTTGGCCTCGGACTTGACACCGATGCGGCTTGCGCCAGAACCGGATCCTCCTCCGCCGCCGCCGCCGCCAAAGCCGGCACCGCCACCAAATCCACCTCCGCGAGAGCCGCCTTGTGATACTGAAATATGCTGTCTCAGCCGTGGTTCATAAGCAGGATTGATCAGAAGCAACACTTACAAGAGCCAGGCGGTAATGAGAAGGGCCCGTCGGGCACGCCCAATGGCCGTGTCATGCCGCCCCGACCCATGGCTCCCCGTCCACGGCCACGGGCGCCTCTGAAACCTCTGCCTCGGAAGCGATTCGACCGGGCTCGTTGCCGGGCCTCCTCCGCAACCTGGTCGCTGACCCGCTTGGCTTCTTTGGCCGCCAGGGCCGCACGCTCTTCCTCCGTCCTCTTGACGGCCTTGGGCTTGAGTTTCATGCCGAGAGCGATGCCTCGTCCTCGCGTCGGCGCGCTTGCGCCGCGGGCAGATGAGCTCCCACCACGGCTGGGTCCGGAAGTAGTCGTCGGCGCTGGCGAGACTTGGACGGGTTGTGAGTCGGAGCTCGCACTTTCTTGTTCCGCGGCAGCGGGTGGCTGAGTTGCTGCTGCGGCAGCAGCCCGCGAGGCAGTTTGGCGGCCTGCCCGGCCAGCTCTGCCGCCTCGCTTCGGAGGCATGGTTGCTGATCAAGTCCGTATTCCGCGGTTCCTCTGGTATCTGTTCCGGCAGCAGGTTGTTGGCAAACTGGTCGGAAGCAAGGGTGTCGGGATGAGTCAATGGGGGGCGACAAAGTAAAGCTGCAAAGCTTAACATTGGATAAGTTTGCAGGTCTATGCTCGCACCAGCTCAGGTACCCAGCCAGAAATTTTAGCGGGGCGCAGGTGGGATCAGGGTATTCTGCCGCACATGCCCGCTATTATTAGTGAATGCTGTTGATGGATGGACCCCTCACCTGAGCTCGATTGAGTGGATTGCCCATGCGCTACGGAGCCATTATGCTTAAAAGAAAAAGACTTGGAAATTATGATGGCTAATACGGCAAGATAACATCAAGTAGTTACGTGAGAGATAACAAAATGACCCTGACTGAGCTGATAACCAACATCTCAGATCACTTACACACAAACAAAAATGAACATAGCTGAGACGCTCTGAGGCAATGCTCAGGCTATATTCCCTTGCAAGATTTGACATTTAGACCCGAAGACAAGAATGAAGTGCAGACAAGATCCTGCTTCTCTCGTTCACGGAGCCTGATCCATGGAATCACCCTTCCCGCCCACTACGTCGGCGGCGGGAGGTGGCAGCATTGTCGCGAGACTCCTGCCCGAAGGCGGATCCGGGCTCGAGGCCATCACTTACCAGTATCCTCTCAAACTGATTTCGCCCTCCGGCTCTGCTGAAGAGAAGAGCGCGCTTGTCTTTCTGCTGTCCTATGGCGGCGGCCTCGTGGGCGGCGACACCATCAATCTGTCAGTGGACGTCCGGCGCGGAGCACGCTTGAGTCTTGTTACGCAAGGCCACACCAAGATTTTCAAGGCCGCTGACCCCGGCATCGTCACTCGGCAAACCCTCGACGTTCACATTGCGGAAGGGGCCGGGTTGTGTCTGCTGCCAGACCCCGTGCAGCCTTTCGAAGGTAGCAACTACCAACAAACCCAGATCTTCAGATTGGCACCGCAATCCTCTCTCTGCCTGCTGGACTGGGTCACACAAGGGCGTACCGCCAGGGGCGAGAACTGGAGCCTCTCGAAATGGACCGGAAGGAACGAGGTTTGGGTTTCACCCAAGGTCGCCGATGGCGGCCGCGAGGCTGCGGCGCCTGATCGATTGCTCGTCAGGGACACGGTGATACTCGACGGAGATCAACGCCATATACAAATCAAGACATTACGGGACACGATGCATAACCTCAGCGTTTTTGGTACCCTGATTCTGCGGGGTCCCCTGACAAAGTCACTGGGCGACTTCTTCCTCTCAGAGTTTGCCTTGCTACCAAGACTCGGGGCGAGAGACTTTCGGAGCGCCGAAGCAAGAGCGAACGAAGAGGAGAAGAGAACTCCATTAGAGAAGTGGAGGGCCGAAAGGCAGAAGAATGAGATGGAGAGTCGCACCTTGTGGTCTGCAGCCAACGTAAGAGGCTGTATTGCCGTCAAATTTGGCGCCACCACCGTCGAGGCAGGTCGTGTCTGGATTGGGTCCATGATCGCAAAGGAAGGAAGCCTGGCAGAGCAGTTTGGAAGTCAAGCCCTCATGTGTATACGATAAATATGCCGTTCATCAGAATATGCTGGCCTTGAGGTAGAGCGATTACTCCTAATCTGACTTGGCGTAGATCTTTAGATACAGCAGGAATGTCGAATCCAGGATGTTGGATTCGGATTCCTGTCACCACACTCGTAACTAATCGAGAGCTCAATGATTTATGACTCTATTCATATGACCGAGAGAAGCACCTAGACACCGCTAAATCTTTCGTACTCCTAGACCTGAAACCCAACCCAATGAACGCCATGCCATGTCCATAGAAACCAGCGTGGCAACAACCGCCACATGAGAGGAAACACATCAAGGAGATAAAGTCAGCTCCGGGAAGAACTGTGCAATCTTGTTTGGATCTCCAAAGTTCCGCGGGGGCTCCTCCGGTTCCATTGCCCCGGGTGGTTCCGGTTGGGCAGTGGAGGCAGTACTACTGCCAGACACGGTGCCGGTCTGGACATGATCGAATCCACCCAGGGACATTCGCTTCTTCTTGATGTTGCCTTGTGATGGTGCCGAGGTCTGGCGGATCAGCGGTGGCGCGGTAAGCGTTCGGATGTCCGCTGACGGCTCTGAAATATTTGTCACCACAAGAGTTCGTTGTCCATTTGGGCCGTCCGAGTCCGGGCGGGAGCGCATCATGTGAATCGGTATCTTTGGATGAAACATTTTCAGGCCACTCTCTGTTGCTTCCAGCGCTGGCACCGGACTGGCAGCGCCGGGCAAAGGAGTGGCGGAGATCTTCTCGTTAGCCGTGAGACCCTTAGTCTGCACGAATGCGGCGGAGCGGATGTGGCAAGGGTTCCGGGAGTAGTACTGGTCCATGATGGGATGAACCATGACGGTTTGACCGTGGATGGTGAGGATGGAGTTGGTAGGGACCGTAACCCAATTCTCTGGCAAACGTGTTAACTGCTGCATTCTGACGCCTGCACATGGTTGTACAAGGATGGACGTACCTCGTTCGAACGTCAGTGGTTCACTGGCCACGAGAACCACATCGGCACCTTTATCCCTGCGCTCCATCTGATAATCGTTCCCAGATACTGGCTCCCGTTCCCATTGAGTGCCTGTTGAGTAGTACAAGCTCGCGGCTTCGTCTGTGGCACTGTTGATATAGCGCGTGCAGATGGTCGTGTGGCCGTCTGTCACGGCAAAGTTCAGCAGACTCCGGGTATCGACGTTCTCAGAATGGAGGATGCTCTCAGGGATCTGATCGATCAGCTCGTTGATCAGCTGGATCGTCCGAAGCACGGCCCTGCGCAACACGGTGGGGCCAAAGCCCTTCTCGGGTTGCGAGCTGGGGTCGTAACCCATGCGCTCGAGGGTATCGAGGAACAGTGCAAAGGCCCACTCGCTGTCCGTGCCGCCGTTGACGCCCAGGTACCATTTGTCGGCGAGTCTCTCGCCCAGGCGCCTCTTGATCTGTTTCCATCCACCGAGACCGCCGTTGTGCATCCACATGAGGGAGCCATGACAGAAAGGGTGGCAATTGTCCTCGCTCAATGTGCCCTCGGTGGTAGCGCGAACATGGGCAAATATGAGCCTCGACGCCGTCTTGCTAGCGATACGCTGGAGGTTTGTGCAGTTCCATGCCGGAATGGTCGATGTGAAGAGGCAGGGTGCCGAGCCGAGCTTTGGATCGGTATAGAAGCCGATGCCGAACCCATCTGCGTTATTCTGACCGCGCCGCGTGTCCTAATGTAGGTTGATCTGGTAAGTCATGGCTTGCTTTTTGTACGGGACGTGGTCGGGTGAACGAGGCGGGCCACAAGGTCTCAGTCGAACGTACCAATCGCAATCGAGAGTCGAAAGATTGCTTGAGAATCGAATGTGTGGGATCAAGGATGAGCTTCGAGAGCAGGATCTCGTCGCTCCCCTTGTACACCTATGACCGTAAAGATGCGTCCGTCAGTGGATTGTACTGTCTCAGCCGTCAGTGATTGGTAGGACACGTACCATAAACCGACACATGGTCAGTCGCGGGCGAAGGAGTGATCTAGGTCGGAAGCCTTCGGTAGGACGACAAAGAGCGGAAGGGAAGCGCGTGACGAAATGACAATCTAGAGGTGATAGTGCAGGTAATGAATGGCAGCCCTGCCTTCCAGCCAAACAACCTCTGTAGCTGTGAGGTACCTAGGTAGGTAGGTAGGCTTAGAAAAGAGAGAAAAGCAAGTGTTTGCGCAGGTCCGGGATCGCAAGATGCGGTGATGCTCGAGGTTGCTTTGGTTCTCCAGACAAAAGACGACGGGAGTCATACGGGGACCTCTTTGGCGGCCTTAGTTGCTGGCATTTAGGGGTGTGTCCACAAGGCTCGTTCCAAAATTGGGTGACGGAATCTGGAAATCTGATTGCGGAATGCACTAATTGGATGGGGAGTCGAGCACCGGCCCCAGTTGCCAGGAGGGCTAAGATTTGGTGCGCGGGAGACATGCATGGGGCTAATCCCAACTGTAAAAGGGAGCTGGGGACCAGCACTGGAGGGAGACCCTTATCACCCAAACACTAAAGTTCTGGGCGCCTAACATGCCTGCGAGACATGCTCTGTGTGCCGGTGTCCGGCAACCTGCGTAGGTACTTCCCCAATTACAGAGCACCTACCTAAGCGATCTGATACCTGTTCATGGCAATGATCCAAGCATCGATAATGTATCAGTGTGTTTCTTGTTGCGAAGAATGGCAAGCCAAATACTCTCCTGCTTAGGTAGCAATACCCCGTTAGCGCATATAGTTATCCATATCCTAGTAGCCGGTTTAATCGTTAAAAACGCTACTTGTACAAGCCTCAAACCGCCAAACCTCCGTGCGTGAGTTGGTGAATCAAGCCACGCCAAAATCGGCAGATCCACGCCACTCGTCATGCTACGCCGGCTCCTGGTATCAGTCGCCTACTTGTACCTACCAACTTCTTTTGCGCCGTCCTTCTGCACCCTGCACCCACACACACGACGACCATCTATTCTATTCTAGACGAGCATTCTGCATGACCTCGATTTCCGCTCTCCAGCGATTCTCTCGCATTCTTCTGCCACCATGAGTGGACGGCTTCTCGCCGCCGGGGTCTTACCCCTAACGCGTCGCGCCGCTGTCCAAGCTGTCCGACGCTACCACCGACTGCCTACCGGAGGGCTTCAAAGCGGCGATGCCACCATTCAAGGCGCTCGCCGCCGCATGTGGTCCCCCGGCAACGCCTTTCATAATGCCGTTATAGTGCGGAACGTGTCGTTCGCGAGGTTCCTGCCGAAGCTCGTTGTCAAGTTTGCTCGCATTCCCGCTATGTTCGGGGGGCTTATGATCGGCGGAGTCGCGTGGATTCAATACCAGGCGATTCGTGAGTTGCGCATCTTGCTCACTGTTGTTGACTGGCGAGTGTGCTGACAATCTGCAGAGGTGAGCAATTCGGCCTACGATATGTACAAGAACACAAAGGAGACCGTCTCCGATGCCGCCGTCAGTATCTGGGGCGGAGCCAGGGACATTGCCAGCCAGACCAGGCAAGGATGGGAAAATACGAAGGAGCAGGTGGAGTTGCCTGAATGGCTGCAAAAGGTTCTCCGGATACACGAGGACATAGGGACCGGCGGGGGAGGCTCCGGCGGCCCAGGAGGCGAGGAGCCGCGACAGAGCCGGATGGGCGCAGCCGCCGCCGGTGCCGCAACCGCCGCCGCATATGGCTACGAACAGTCGCCAGAGGAAGACGAGAGAACGCCCGAGGAGGTTGCTAGGGACGACCAGATGATGATCCTCACAAAGAAGATGATTGAGATCAGGAACATCCTCTCCAAGGTTGGGCAGTCCAGCACCCTGACACTCCCGTCGATCGTCGTCATCGGGTCGCAGTCTTCCGGCAAGAGTTCGGTCTTGGAGGCGATTGTCGGACACGAATTCCTACCAAAGGGCTCCAACATGGTCACCAGGAGACCAATCGAGCTGACCCTCGTCAACACCCCCGAGTCCAAGGCCGAATACGGCGAGTTTCCCGATCTTGGGCTGCGCAAGATTACCGACTTCACTTCGATCCAGCGGACTTTGACCGAGCTCAACATGGCCGTTCCCGACACCGAATGTGTCTCCGATGACCCGATTCACCTCACCATTTACTCGCCTCATGTGCCTGATCTCTCCCTTATCGACTTGCCTGGTTATATCCAAGTTGTCGGCCAAAACCAGCCGCTTGAGCTCAAGCAGAAGATCACGGAGCTCTGCGACAAATATATCCAACCGCCAAATGTGATTCTTGCCATATCAGCGGCCGATGTGGACCTGGCAAATTCCACGGCTCTCCGCGCCAGCAGGAGGGTAGATCCCAGAGGAGAGCGCACCATTGGCGTCGTCACAAAGATGGATCTTGTCGACGCGCCCAGGGGCGCTGCCATTCTCAACGATAAGCAATACCCACTGCGGCTAGGATACGTCGGTGTGGTGTCAAAAGCGCCGACTACATCAAGCCTGTTCAAGAAGGACACGGGCAACCTTATGGCTGCCATCAGTAAGAATGAAAACGCCTTCTTTTCATCACATCCTGTGGAGTTCGGCACCGATGCGGGGGTCGCAGTCGGTACCACCACCTTGAGGAAGAAGTTGATGCACGTCTTGGAGCAGACCATGTCTGCCAGTCTGCAGTCCACCAGCGACGCCATACAGCAGGAGCTGGAGGAGGCGACTTATGAGTTCAAGGTCCAGTACAACGACCGTCCCTTGTCGGCAGAGTCGTATCTGGCCGAGAGTCTCGACGCTTTCAAGCACTCGTTTAAGCAGTTCGCAGAGGAGTTCGGACGGCCCCAGATGCTCCAGCTGCTTAAGAACGAGCTGGATCAGCGAGTCCTCGACCTGCTCGCACAGAGATATTGGAACAAGCCTATCAATGATCTCTCCCCTGCAACCCCGGAGCCGGATAGTCTGGCGGATCTGCCAAAGGCAGACCCTGAATCTTTGTATTGGCACCGCCAGCTCGATGCGTCAACTTCGCAGCTTACCAAGCTCGGAGTCGGCCGTCTCGCCACCACCGTCGTTGCAAACACCATCCAATCGCATATCGATCGACTGATCGCACAATCTACTTTTGCGAGCCATCCATTTGCCCGCCAGGCCATCACCGAGGCGGCCTCGAGTATCCTGAACGACAGGTATTACAGCACGAGCGACCAGGTGGAGAATTGCATCAAGCCATTCAAGTTTGATATTGACCTGGAAGAGCGTGAATGGAACGCAGGCAGGGAGAATGTCGCCAACGTCTTGAAGAATGAGCTAGCTGCTTGCCAAAACGCCACCAAGCACCTGGAAGATGCTGTAGGGGGCAAGCGTAAGCTCAAGGAAGTCGTTACCTTCATCGACCGAGTGAGGAAGGGTGACACCGTCATTGAGGGCGAAGGCCGGAGCGGTGCGGGGGGCTTCAGTGCCGCATTGTTGCAAAAAGGTTTGTAGCTTCTTCCTCGACATTACTACCGTCAATGTTTACTGATACATACCACGCACTGTCTAGGTCGCGAAGCCGTTTTCCTCCGCGATCGGGCCGACATCATCAACATGCGCCTGCTGGCCGTCAGGTCCAGGCAGTGCAAGTCCATGACGAACAAGTACTACTGCCCCGAGGTCTTCCTGGACGCCGTCGCCTCCAAGCTGGCGGCCACCTCTGTGCTCTTCCTCAACGTCGAGCTGCTGTCGGAGTTCGTCTACAACTTCCCGCGCGAGCTCGACCAGCGGCTGGGCCGCCACCTCTCGGACGAGCAGATGGAGCGCTTCGCCAAGGAGGACCCCAAGATCAGGAAGCATCTCGAGGTCATCCGCCGCAAGGAGCTACTGGAGCTCGTGCTGGACAAGATGCAGAGCCTCAGGCAACTCGAGGGCCGCGAAAAAGCGTCCCAGAGGGGCGCCGCGAGGCAGAAGGGCGCCGAGAAGCAGAGGGGATGGGGGATTTTCTGATGGGAGCAAGCCGAACACAGTCTCACCTCCACTGATATGAATCGTTGACGAAATCACCATAAGGTTCTACTGGCGTTGATGTTTATTCTTGTTTTGTTTCATTTTGGGGCTCACGTTTCTATGTACTCCCTTTACCCCTGACCTCCTTCACCCGTCTGGATGTCTCCAATGACCTGCCCGGACGGTAGTAGACTTGTTCTATTTCTCCATACAGAACTCCCCTTTGCTCATTCACTCGGGCTTGTTGAGAAAATCTCCCTAGTTTGTCGCCATATATATACCAGGCCCTGGGTTCTCGAACGGGCCAATAAATATGTACATATGAAGATTGCCCTCCTCGTCTTGACCTTCGTCTTTGTGAATTTTGGGCTGTGCGAGTCAAGCCCGCTTTGTGGGCTTTCGCTCTTCCGTCTTAGAATGCGTTGAGACTCACCCAGAGGTACCTAGTGAAACGGCACACTTTGACGGGGCCTTGTATATCCATGTCTCGCTTCGATCTTTGGATATCCAGCAAGTTCCCCTCTTCTCTCCAACCCTTCCGTCAGCTACCATCCGTGCTCATCTGCGTCGTCACCTCCCACCTCAAGCTCGAACCCCGGCCGTACCCTTCGCCGAGCCGGTTCTGGATCATCCGCGCTATCCTGGACCGCAGCTGACTGAGCGCCGAGTCGTCGCACCCGCGCACGACGCAGACCTTGAGGTTGGCCATGCACAAGCCGTAGTGGACCTGCCAGAACTGCGCCTCGTCGACGCGCGCGACGTTGGGCTCGGCCTCGATCTCGCGCACGACGGCCGACACGCTGCCGTCCTTGTCCATATCGCCGGTGTCGCCGCCCCCGCCACGACCAGAGAACGACATGAGCAGCATGAGGCCCTGGGCGACGGCGAGGCGCAGGCCCAGGACGAACATGGAAACGGCGATGGCGGCGCAGATGAGGGTGTCAAGCCAGACGAAGACGGCGATCGAGAGCAAGGGCAAGAGCAGCATGAGGAAGGAAAAGAAGAGCGTGAGGAAGTGGAACGGGTTGTTGAGGACGCCGGGTAGCAGGGAGGAGAGGTAGGAGGGGTAGCGGACGCGCATGGCGCGGCGGATTCGGGCGTGGTTCTTCAGCCCGTACGCGCTGATCAGCGTGCTCACGACGGCGGCGAGGCTGGCCAGGTCGACCTGGCCGGGGGACACATTGCGACCGCCGGCGCCACCGTGCGAATGGGATGAGTGCGGCTCGTGGTGGCCGACAGACTCGAGCAGGTGCTTGAGATTGTGGCTGATAAGATCAAAGCCCCCAAAGACGAGGAAGATGGAGGTCGCGAAGCCGGCGAGGACCTCGGCGCGCTGAAGGCCGAAAGGATGGCGGACGCTAGATCGGCGCCAGACCTCAAAGTTGCCCAAGACATCGACTGCTACACAGACGGCCGCAGAGCCGACGTCGAAAAAGACGAGGTGGGATAGGGCCGTCATGGCCAGGGATCCAGACGCGCTGAAGAAGACGTAGACGGCGACGGCAGCGTGGCAGAGACACCAGTACATGCGAGCCCGTTGGTCGCGCTGCATGCTAGCCCAAGCCTCCTTGACGGTCGGCACGGGGAGAGACGCGGGGAGGACGGGCGGCGCCCTCGGCGGTGGCTCCTGGAATATCTGGTGCTGTGCTGATATGGAGCTGTGCTTATATCGGTGGCCACGGCGCTGTCCGATGTTCTGTAGATAGGGCAGAGGATGTCAGTCCCAATACCGAGGGCCGTATACGTGCGAGGGACAGAGAGAAAGAGGGCACGTACCGACTTGACTGGCGACGTAGATATGATCTGCGTCTTGAAGTTGAAGGGGTTCTGGGCGGGGGCGGCAGCGCCGCTGCTGTCGGTGGAGGTGTCGTCGGAAGCCATGGAGGGCGAGGGCGGTCGCAACAGACCGCGTCCGTCGGCCGGGCTCAGGAAGGAGGTGGTAGCGACGGGAGAGGGAGGGCCGCGACGGAAGGTCGCGGAATTGGGGCTCAGGAAGCCGCCGTCATCCAAGTCGAGGCTGTCGTCCCAAGCGGTCGTCTCGACAATGGCAGGCGGGGAAGGCGTCTCGGGGGGTTGGATGACGGGAAGGCCAGATGCCATGTGCTCCGAAGAAAGGGAAGAGGCTACCTTAGGTATGTCTTGGGGGGTGGTAGTCTCTTGCGGCTCTTGAGCATGTGAGGTTCCGCCGTGCCAGAGACTACTCTTCCGTGCATGTGTAGGCCGGCTGTTCGAGGCGCCACGCGTGGCTGCTGCTTGCAGTTAGCGCATCATGGCATCATGGGGAGAATGGCACTTGGAGATAACATTAATCTTACTAGCCCTTCTCCAGTCCGCTGTGGGAAGCAGCCTCGCAATATAAGTAGTCTAGGCACCTAACAGTTGCGCAAGAGGCAAGATGAGGAGGTGAACGAACAAGCAGGCACTTGAATTGATTTTTTCCATCTGAGACTCGAGAGTGGTTTCCGGAAGTACACAACAGGTCGCGCCTCCCACCCAAATCGCAACCCGAAGCAACCTCTGTGAGTTGTTGCCAAGCCTTTTGGGGCGTCTTGGGAGAACTTGCGACTGAAATGGGCGAATTGGCATGAGCCCTCGCAGGCGCACGTGGCGGCTGATAGGGGGCTTTTGGGTGAACGGCAGAGGCCGATTCAGCGGTCCCTTAGTGGCTTGATGCTAGCGCATGTCCCTGGGCTAAGTGCTGAGAGTGTGCTGACAGCCTGAGACTGAGATAACGCATTCAGCACACCCACTGTCCCCCCCCCTTGTCCAATGGCCGATCACCAATTGGCCCAGACAATCTTGGCACCCTCGAATTTCGGTGGAACCAATGCGCCAGATCCAGCATTGGAATTGACTTCACCGTTTGGCATCCTGCATGTTGCAGAGGCTGTTATACGCACGCACTTCTACTGAGCCTCCAAACCATACACACGGCACCCATGGTAGCGATGCAGTGAACCAGCAGCCCGTCTCGCCACAGTCTACTCCAAAACAAAACAGTCTTCTCTAGTGCAATCCGGCAAGGCATGCTTTGCAGCTAACGCCGGGGCGCCATGTGTTATTCTGCAGACTACGGGTCCCTCGATTCCACCAGACCTGGCGCGCCGTCCTGAGAACGCAGCACACGAGACGAGCAAGAAAATGGAGCCGCCGCACCATTCCCCGCTGGCCGCCGAGGCCCATCCACCGTCTCAACAGCCACAACCGCCTCTCTCATCCCTCTCCTCGTCCTCCTCTCCGTCCTCCGACCACAAGCGAGCGCCCTCGTCCTCCGGCGCCGGCTCGGGCCTCCTCTCGCGCTTCCCGTTCATGCGCTCCAATCCCGACTCCCACAGATCTCATAACCACAGCAGCAGCAGCCGCCACGACGGCGACGACGAGCCCTCCATGAAGGCCGCGCCAGGCTCCCTGGCCACGGCCATGCAGCAACAGCAGCAGAAGACGCGTCGCCGGCGGGGTTCCCTTCGCAAAGTCGCCCTTCTCGGCCGTGGCGCGGCCCGGGAGAGGCGCGACTCCAAGTCCTCAGACGCCAAAAAGGTCGACATGGCACAGATAGACGGGTCCCCGCCGACTTCTGTCCCGGCCGCCGCCCTCGCCGACATTGACACCCTGGGCCTTGGCATCTCCGACATCACACCCCGCCCGTCCATGGACGGCTACGCGAGCCGGAGCAGCAGCAGCGCGCCGTCTCTGCCCCCGCCGCTCGTCGTGCAGCCTCTCGGCAGCTCCACCACGTCAGAAGGGTCCGACCTGCCGGCCACGAGCCCCACGATATCGTACTCGACGACGGATGAGGAAGATGCGCTACACATGGGCGGCGCCCCGCAGTCCGAGCAGGACCAGCCGCGGCCGGGCCTGTTGTCCTCGGGCTCCGAGTCCTATTTCGGCAACGGAGGGGCCGCCGCGGGCCGCGTGCCGCTGCAGCGCCGGCGGTCCGACCAGCGCGCCAAGTCGCCCCTCTCGCTCTCCAATCTCGCGACCCCGATGCCCGCCGGCTCGGACGGCGACTGGGACTACTCCGAGACGGAGTGGTGGGGGTGGGTGGTGCTCGTGGTGACATGGCTCGTCTTCGTCGTGGGCATGGGCAGCTGCTTCGGCGTCTGGAGCTGGGCTTGGGACGTCGGCACAACGCCGTATGCACCACCGGAGCTCGAGGACGACCCGACACTGCCCATCGTGGGCTACTACCCGGCCCTGATCATCCTGACGTGCGTGATGGCCTGGGTGTGGGTAGTGATTGCATGGATAGGAATGAAGTACTTCCGTCACGCGAGGATGAGCGGGGACTAGGGACGAGATCGAGCTGCGTGCTGTCACATACGGGCGTTGCATTCATTGGATTGGCCTTGGCGTTCAGGAGAGCGAGTCTATCACGTTGCTGTACCTCAAGTGTTTAATACCCCTAGTAAGCGAGAATATATTTTTCAGTCATTTGTGATTTGGTAACTCAAGAGTATACGGGTTATCATCCTATATACGACTTATCACCTAGGAGTGTTTGACTGGCCGAGCACCGTTGTCATTTCCAGGAAGGAAATATAGTCCACGGCTTTCACAGTACCATCTTGGTAGATTGGTGGTTGTCTCGCAACTACCACGCAAATGTGATCACAGCACGCACGGGTCGACTCGGACTATGGCTCAGTATTCCCTGAAACGGTGGACAAGGATATCCGAGACTAATGAGCTTGATCCAGGACTTGCGAGAGTCGAGGTGCGGGACAGGGGCTCCCAGGGCGGCTGGCTGGGATGGCTTGGGCCACACGATCATCCATCGTCGAACGCACCAGCCAAGCCAGCCACCCGAGATGTTCACTCTTTTCCACCTGTGAGAAAGAATCCTTGGCACGAAAGTCGTTTGAGCGGCAACCAGCGTCGCATTGTCGAGTCTGTGGTTCGTCTGTAGGTCCTGCGTTGCGCGCTAAAGAGGACGGGATGGCTGGGAGGAGGCTCCATGTGCAGTTTGCAGGCTTGCATCAAACACACCCCAGCGCCAAAGGAGATGCGCGGCTGGGCCCAATCAGGTCGAGCACAAGCCGTCTGACCGTGCACCCGAGATCAGATTTAGCGATTGACGCGCACTGCGGCGCCCCTGAACTAATGACTTCGTCGCATGCAGCGGTCTGTCAGCATCAGCGTGCGCGGCTACTGGGAGATGTCATTCGTAGTCTCGGTAGCGGATGCAGCAAACAATCGAGATGCGCGCGTGGACTGCCCGGATCTCTCGAGAAGGACGGAGCAAGCGCCGAGTCCTCTTTTGGGAAAACTACCGCAAGGGGTTGAAGTGAACTATTACCTAGGAAGTGGACTCTGGTGTCAGCCAAGTGGGCTGCGGATGGCTGGCGGGCTGGAGTCTCGGGGACGCCTCCAGCTAGGTAACTAACTACATTACCTATTCCTGCCTGTCGGTAAAAGCGGACTGGATGGTTGGCACCAGGAGCCTGACGAGCTGACAAACTTCATACTAGGGTACTTTGGAGTAAGTATGAGTTTCGTTCGCTTCACAAGTCGCTCTTCAAGACAAATGACGTCGGCCGTCTCCGCCGCTAGTGGTATGAAAGAGCGGTCTGGCCCCCCCAAGATTTCTGTCTCGTGCTCGCCCAAGGCCGAGAGGGGGGAAACAGCAAACAAAAGAACTGGTGCCCAGCCCGTCAGGAGCTCTCCCAAGCCCGGACCACGCGGGCGTGTCGAGTCAAGAACCCCCGGGTGGGAAGGACGTCTGGCAGATGTCCGAGTCGAATCGGTGTCGGCGGCGCCGTAGTCCCTAGGGAAGGGATGGGAAAGAGTTTGGTAATTGACTTCCCATCCTACCCCGATTGTTGGGTACGGAGCCTTGCAAACCCTTCGAGACGCTGACTGTGCATATCGACTGTCTGACCATGACATTGGCAGGCGGCACGGAGAAGGATGCCAATTGATCGATGATCGAATGAATCGACAGGGACTGTCCATCTTTACGGCTGACCGGCTTGGACTCACAGCCACGGTACTGTACTTTCAATGCAATTACATGTATCAAGAAGTGATGGTAAGATTAGATGGCAGGTTGGCAACGGAGATACTTTCCATCTATCAAACTTAGATACTGGGATAGCCGTAGGACGCTGAGCAAAGAAATGCAATGTTAGCATTGAGGTATCTCTTGATGAGCGGCCATCAACCATTCTGGCCCCTACTGCTTATGCATGTCTGTGACAGCTATGCAGAGCTCTTGGCGAATGAGTAAAGATTGACAAGTACTCCCAGAGCCACCACCACCACCACCTACCCCAAACCAGGGTCGCCGAGGATCAATGAGGGGCAAAAGGGAAAGCCCGCCAGAGCCAGGTTCCCGAAAGGACTGCGAGGCCAGGGTGGCACCCCTAGAGCAAGCAGCCGAATCGAGCGTATACTGCAGCAGGCTAGCGCACGAAGATGAAGCGCTTCGATGCCTCGGGGCCGTGAGGGCCACCAGGATTGGCCATGATGCAGAGCACAGGCAAAAGCAGAAGGTAAAGTGGTAAACCAAGCGGTGCAGTGGTGCAGTGGGGGGTTGGGGAGGAAGAGGCGAGAACAATGAGAAGACTTCGCTCCCATGTCGCTTGGCCATCGTGCATGAAGCGCCAGAGCTCCGAAAAGAGGAGTCCGGGAGCACCTCTGGCCAGTCCTGTTGCGACAGACGACTCGGCCTGTCTGCCAGGCATGAACCGCACGAGCCCACTCGTTATGGGTGCAAGGGAGGCAATCCAGACACTCAGCAGGCGAGCACGGCGAGATACAGCGATCGACACCGGATCAATTGGGCAGCATATTGAGACATTGATGCGTGAAACAGTCGAGCAGCCAAAGCAGCCAACAAAGTCTCCGACCAGACGGAGGCTGCATCCCAGTCCAAGAAAGAGGTCCACCACTGCCGACAACACACACACCCGCCGGGAACACTAGAGGCTCTGCCAGACAGCCATGGATTTTCTATTTGACATGGGGCCTTTTGACTTTTTGTGATATTTGATCTTCTGCTTCGCTGGCTGACTAACCTTCTCTCGATCGAAAGCTCTCTGCAGCGCCTAAGTAATCAAGTATGTAGGTGGCGGCGCCAAGAATAGACACTCGGCCACATGAGTCCGGAAAGGACGAGAACGGTGCCACCAGAAGATGGTGAGATGGGGTTTTCCGCTTGCCTTGGCGGCGAACGAGTAAGAGGGAGGGCAATAGATCAATTGATTGGGACCATGGCGGATAGGTCCCTGCTCCGGGACGATCCCTTGGACATCCCAGGAGAGGGATCGGCAGAAGGAGACTGACCCAGACTTCAGAGTAAAGTACTCCGTACTGTAGGGTAGACTTTCGTTCCAGCGCGTATTTCCATATTCAGCCTTTTTTCTTGCTGGTTATCTGCCTCGACGGCTGTCATGTATCCATCTATCTACCCTTTCATGTCCGGAATTCCATCCGACAGCCTGCTCCGAGCTTCGGCCGCCTTTGGATGGGTGGATGCCTCACACGCCGGCAGGTAGTTAGGGAGGTATGTAGGCCAAAGAGGTGACAGTGGCGCGATTGTATGCCCATCCGCTACGGTAGAGACCGAGTTACCAGATAAACGAGATGACGGGGAAGGCTTTTCTATGCTTGATTACGACGGTTTATGTTTCAACAAGCATCGCCGCACTCTCACACCCCAACAAATTAGTCAAGCCAAGCAAGCAAGCATCTGCCGTGGCTTGCTTAGAAGACATTTGGGGGGGGGGGGGGAGAAAGATGCAGCTCCGTTCTGTACAGGCTCCAGGTGATCAGACGTTTCTCGGCCGCCAGCTGGGCTCATTCAGTCGCACAGTACTCGAGTCCGCTACCCGCTAACGGGGTACCTCTTCTCACGGACAATTCGCCGTTGGATTCCTCACTCGCGGCCCTCCCACGCCGTGGTGGTGGTCGTGGGTGGGAGTCAGGTTCGCCGAGTGGCCAAGTCGGGCTGGGCAGGTAGGTATCGGGCTAACATCTTATTCACTGTACTTGTACCAGTAGCACTTGGCTGATGGAAGCCGCGCCTGCCCAAAGAAATAGACTGAACTGTCGACCCAATCGAGCAGCTCGGGTGGGCGACCAGTGACCAGTAGTGCTAACGGGCGGCCAGTGAGATCCGATGATGACCTTGCACTCCACCGAATTCCGCCACGCCGCTCTGCTGTAGGGTCTGGTCCCAGAGCCAGACCACGCCAGAAGACGGTCCACAGGTAGCCGGTAGCAGGTAGAGTCGCAGGGTACTTGTTCCGCCGCCATTACAGCACCGCTACAGCGGCTCCCAGGTGCTGGCCCCGAGGTACCGGCCACCCATTTCTAAGCGGCCACTTAGCACCACCCTGAATGAAACCCCCTGGCCCGACCTCCCGTTGTTGGCTCATTTCCAGTGCCATGGCAAAAACTTCGAACCCAACCATCTTACCTGATCTTCCTCCATCCGCCTTCAGCCCTCTCCACCACCTCAAAGGGGAAGAAGAACTCGACCGTCTTCACCACGCACCGCATTGTTGGTTCTCATCTTCCCCCATCTGCGTTTCCTCTTGATGCCTTCGCATCCCTGCATCCTTGCATCCTTGATTTCGTGATACCCTCTTTCCAGAGTTTCTCCCATCATCGGCACCGCCTGAGGCATTTGGATTTCCCGAGTCACGGCCGCCGCAATCAATTTCAACCCTGAAACCCCCCATCCGCCACCGACAATCACGACATCTCTGACGGTCATCCCATTGCCATCGCACGCGGTCTCTCATCAGATATCTTCATCGGATCGACATCCGGTCCGTCTTTTATCAAACGACCATCACAATCCCTCGAGTCTCGACTCGCTCCTTCGTCACGTCGAGGGCGAGGCCGAGTCTTGCTCCGAGCGATACACACACACACACACATTGCGTGGTGTGCACGACAGCCACAACCGGCTGTACCACTCCAGGGCATTGTTTTCCCAAGCAAGCCCATCAATTCTGCCCTCTGCTGGGCCACTCCGACCTCGTTCCGATACTCTTGATCACATCTCTGCGCATTGGCAGCAATCGGCCCCCCTTCCCGTGACCGTGACCCCTTGGTGCCCCTAGTCGAATTGGCCCAAGATGAGGGAAGTCAACTTCAGCATCCCCAACGTCAATAAGGCGTCCGTGGGCATCACCACTGCCTTGTATGACCGACGTGCCCTCGATTGCACCTCGACATTGCCTCTGATCAACTCGCTCAATCATCTTGCTTATCTGACAACATCCTCTGCCCGCATTCGCGACATCCTCACCGTCGATGGAGGCATCGAGAGGCTTGTCTGCATCCTCAAGCAGGGCAGGAGCAAGGACATGATGGACATGTGGAAGTGGAACTTGGCCTTCCAGTGCGTCGTCAACATAGGCGTCCGAGGCACCGAAGGCGTCCGGACGCGGGTGGTCGAGGCCGACATGGTCCCGGTCATTGCCACCATCCTCGACAACTACATCAAGGTCATCGATAAATGTCGCGAGAAGGCCGAGGAGGCGAAGCAGAAGCAGCTGCAGGATCACCACAGTCGGCACAGGAGTCATGAGCACCGGAGCAGCTCAAAGTCGTCCAGCTTCGCCAACCGACCCGGCCGTATGGATATCGACCAGAGGACATTCCGACGTCAGGCACCACCTCCGTCCATTGATGTCTCTGCCACCTTTGCCAACAATTCCGTATCTGTAGACCAAGCAAATGGCTCCGAAGCCACCCCGACCATTTCGCAGTTGCCCGTCACATCTCCACCTGAGCGACCGTCTTTTGGTGTGCATCGACACCACCACCACCACCATCATCACTCTCACAGGACGGCCGAGGCGAGATCCAGCGTAGCGTCGCCTTCTCGTCAAGTTATTCAGCCTCTTGCGCCTGCCGTCCCTGCTGCAGAGACCGGCGAGCCGTCTTTCCTCCGCCCGGTTCGCGACATTGACCGGCTAGCGTCAATGATGCCCTTCGTTCCCAACATGTCTTCTCAGCCCGCATCCCCTACGACACCTCTCCCCCCTCCTCAGTCGCGGTCCCCCACCGTGCGTCCCACATCGATGCTTGCCCCTACCGGGCGGTCTCGGAGACGGCCGTCCATCCGGCACCAGAACTCGACTGCTGCTGAATCGGATGATCTAGCTACGGAGAGCATCCAGTCAGACGAGTCTCCTGATGCGGAAATGTCTGGCACCAACGAAGTGCAAACTGCTGTCAACATTCAAGACATGTCCATGGAGGAGTCGGAGAGCATCTTGGCTGGCGCCTCTATGGATTTGAACACGCCGACCGTGTCCGAGACACAAGACACGGGCACTTTCAACATCACTCATCGTGCCCCCATGGATGGGAGCATCGTCAACACGACTGCCCCGACCCCTGTGCCGGCCATGGGCCTGTCGCCCAACCGACCCACCATGGTCACTCCACCTCAGCCCACCATGCCCAATGCCAGCGTGCCTCGATATCTACTAGATCGGCAGCTGACCCCCAATCCCCAAATGCTTGCGGCCATGCCGCGGGAGGAGGACGTTTTGATGTCGCTCCAACTCCTGGCATATGTCTCCAAGTATTGCAACCTGAGGTCGTACTTCCAGAAGAGCCACTTGGTGCCGAGACTCAAGATTGGCAAGGAACTGCAGCTCCTCGACGGCGATGAGAATGCCGCCGACACAATGCTCGACGATGAGGAGTATGAGGAAGAGTATCTCCTACCCAACGACCTGAACATATTTCCGCTTGTGGAGAAGTTCACCGTTCGTTACCATAGTACAGACATGCAATACTGGGCTGGGGTTGTTATGAGGAACCTCTGCCGGAAAGATGATACCCGGGGAGGCATCCGCCAGTGTGCCTACTACCAATGCGGCAAGTGGGAGGAGTACACCCGCCAGTTCGCCAAGTGTCGCCGTTGCCGAAGGACCAAGTACTGCAGCAAGGAGTGCCAGAAGAGCGCCTGGGCCTTCCACCGCCATTGGTGTGTGGCTGCATCGCAATGAGACATCCTCATGGAAAGCGACTGGACGGGCCGTCTCATTACGCACAACGAGATGGCGTTATTTTAATGTCTGATTCCAATTCTCGAATTTCGGTCGAGCGGCATACCAAACACAAGCATATCAAAGTTTCATGGCGTCTGTTTTTTGATACCACGGTTTTCATTTCTCTTGTCTTCCTACCACTCCAGGCATAGGACCGAATTTTCCTTTAGCAAGTTTATACATCCAGTACGAAATGAAACTACGCCGCATGGCTACGATTCTTGATTATATCGGCGCCACCCTCTCCCATTGGGCTGGCCTTTTCTGATGCCGCACTGCTCGAGGACACTGTGACGTGCGGCAGTCACGAGGACCACCATCGGACGGACCTTATAGTGGCTGGTGTCGACGTTGTGGCCCTGGTCCCAACCTGCATACAAACTGGTGCCGGTCCTCATTTCCTTTGTTCTTTTCTTCTCGGAGGGTTGTGTGGCGGAGGTGCGACGATGAGGGCATATACCACTTGGTGCACAACACAACGGTGCCTTGTTGTCGACTAGTCGAACATGAAGCGAAGGTTGCTGATGGCAACGTCAAGGAGGTTGTGGGCGTTTGAGGCAGTGCTGCTGGCAACGACGGCTTTGGCCGCTTCCTGCACTGCACATGTTGGTGGATTCAAGAGCGAAGTAGTGATGACACAAGCCCGGTATAGGGATTTGTGACAAAGCGTGCTAAGGAAGATGGCTCTGAACTCGAGACTGATGACAATAATCATGACGGCGCGGGTCAAAATGCAAACACGTCCTCAGTGTATCTTTACCTTGTTGATAACATAGAGTGCAAAAAATGGAAAAAAACCCTCTGCTCTCTCATCTGGACACCTGAAACGCCGTGACAACAAGTTGAGAAATGCAGATCACATGCACCAGGCTATCTTTCGCGATGCAATGCTTTGTGAATAATATGTATAATGAGTAGCTCGCCGTCCTGGGAACTACAATGACAGGGAACATGACAGAACGGAGGATATCATTTTGTCTACAGGTAGAAAACCTGTCCCTTTTCGCCATCCCCTCTTACACACGCCCACCTCAACCCCTGTTGGCCATGGCCTGCCTCCGGCTCTTGCCCGGCCTCGAGGCTCCACCCCTGCTACCTCCACGGCCGCCCCGTCCGCCTCGGCCGCCGCTGGAGGCGCCGCCCTTCATCCTCTTGACGCTGAACTCGCGCATGTCGCCCGAGCTGATGGCATCGCCAGACTTGGCGTGCCGCTTCTTGCCGCCAAAGCCGTACTTCTCGTTCTTCTTTTGGCGCTTGGCGTTGGGCCGGCCGGCCGAGGCGGCGCCGCCGCGACCGCCGCGGCCTCCCTCGGACCTGTTGTTGTTATGGCGCTTAATCTCGTCATCGACGGCGACGTCGAAGAGATCGCCCTCGGTCTCGCCGAGGTCGCCAGAGTTCTCTTGGCGTTCTAAAACGGGGGGGAAGGCAACGTGGTCAGTACAACTGCAAGAGAAATATGATAGATAGGGACTGTCCCAAGTGCAGGATGGGCATGGACTTACTCCGCTTGAGGGTCTTGATCTTCTCGAGCGTCTCCTTCTTGGCCTTGGCGCGCTCCTGCAGCTTGGCGACCTGGACCTGCTTGCCGAACTTCTTGAGGTCGCGCTGCTTGCGGGCCTCGGCGGCGGCCTTCTTGGCGGTCGCGTCCTCGATGAGCTTCGCCTTGACCTTCTCCATGAGCTCGTCGGGTTTGACCATCTCGGCAAAGTAGTCGTTGGGGCGGGAGAAGGGGACCTTCTCGGCGAGCAGGAGCGACCGGGCCTTCTTGGCGGCCTCGAGCGACTGGCGCAGGAACTCGAGCTCGCGGGTCAGGTCGTCCGAGATGTCCGGGATGGCTTCCTCGGTGTTGGCGCCCTTGCCGCTGACGGTTTGGTGGCTGGCAAAGGTAACAGAGGCATCTGTGGGGATTTCTATGCGGGCGGCGGCGGCGAGGAGGGCGGTCTGGTTGTTGATGGTCTGCTTCTGGTGCGGGATGAGATCCTCCCTCTCCTCGTCGGCGAGATCCTCCAGGTCTGACCAGGCAACATCCTCCTCCTCGTCTTCCTCTTCCTCTTCCTCGTCGTCCTCCTCATCTACAGCTTCGGTCCCCTTCTCCTTCTTCTGGGCTTCTTGTTTTGACTTCTTGGACTTCTTGGCGTCTTTTGCAGGTGCCGCAGCCTTCTTGGGTCGCTCAATCTTCTCCTCAATCTCTATTTCCGATTCGGAAGAGTCCGAGTCGTCGAATGCCTCGATGTCGAGCTTGGATTGCTTTGTTAGCAGTGCCCTATGACTACGGGAGAATGGAGACGGTAACATACTCCCACACCCTCCTCCTCATCGGAGTCTTCTTCATCGTCATCGCTCTCCTCTGCCTCGTCGTCCACGAGACCTGACACTCCGTTCTCGTCGGAGCCCTCCTCCTCATCCTCGTCGGAGTCCTCCTCTTCATCCTCCCACTCGTCATCTTTCTTCTCGACCTGGCGCTTGCTCTTCTCGGCGGCCTTGCGCTTCCGGGCCTGCTTGATCTTTTTGAAGTCGACCCCGCGCTCTGCGGCGAGCGCACTCCTGAGGTACCCGCCCTTTACCATGACGACTCGAGACTATTATAGCAGCTGGATATGTCGGTCTTTGTTGTGGCAGGCAAAAGTGGTGGCAGTACACAGCTTGGTGTCTCGATAATCCACCCCCAGCAGGCGATATACAACAGCGGGCCTCCCTCTCCAAGAAAGTTTCCTTCCCAGAATTTTTTTGCTGGTGTAGCTAGCGTGGACTGGCAGAACGAGAGAGCCCCAGTTCTTTGGCCTTCACCGCCCTCGATCTGTCTTGTCGAATACACTCAGTAGCGCACGTGCCACTGTTATCTTAGTGGAGCCCCAGGCCTTCACGCTTCAGCCCAGCGGCCGTTGTTGGCGCTGGATTCTTTCCCGTACTATCCCCGTCTCATTTAATGATTAAGGTTGATCCGGTGCCAAGCTAGACATCAACACCCGGGCCAGCATCGTCTCCCGACTTCAACTCAACTCCAACGCCCCAGACCGCCTCTTCTCTTCTTCCTTGGTAACGCTTATGTAAAACCCAAGGGCTGATGGTCCGTCGAACTATCGTGAGGTGGGACAGCTTTGCCCAGAACGCCCGAGTTCAATCCATCTGTCCAACCACTTATGGTGGCGTTTGTGTCGGCAATGTAATTCCTGGAATCCTCCTCTGTCAACTTCCAGATTCCTAGGGAAATCATGTGCTGTTGTTCATGGCACGATCGAATGGATCGAATGGCACTTGTCAAAAGGCATGTGTCTTTCGTTGCCAGACTTCCACAGTGCGTTGATCCTTTTGAGGGCAGTGGGAGCCAGTGATCGGGAGAGTGTTCGTTATGACCTTGACTGCATACACGATAAAGGCGTGCCTATTCATCCGAGCAATACCCATCCGACCCTTGAGGCTCTGGTCACCAGAGTCACAAACTGCAGTGACTTAGATGCGCGATGTGATATCACGGCTTTGCTGTCGCGAGGCTTGGGGGCCGGCTTTAGATCGGATGCTACCCCGCAAACCCCAGATCAACATCGACGTGGCTATTGTTTTCCGGGCCTCATCCCCAAACATCGATCACCATATCCCCCAACCGCTACTGGCTTGGCGTTCATCCTCAATAATCAGCTGTCAGACGTCAGATTCCCTTGCTGGGAATAGCTGATGAGTGTCATTGGATGCCCTCTCTCGCTTGCTGTGCCTTGCACGCCTTGACCCGGGAAATGGAATCCAATGCCGTGGTTGTAGCCCCTTGCTCCTGGGTATGCAGTGTCGATCACAGTTTTCCATTTATTTGTTGACTTATGACGCACCTGGCTTTGGTACTTCGTGAAATGCTGTTCCCTTTTCTCCCTTCGGACACTGTACCCTGATGTGCGCAGCCTCCTAAAGTCCTCGTTGCTATACGTGCTCCTCGAACAACACCATGGCGACCAATACTGAGGCCGCTCATGCGGATACTCAGCCGAAGCAGCATGGAGCTGCCGAGATTGAGCATCCCGGCGAGTCTGAGCCCAGAACCGAGAGCGAGAAGATCAACGACAGTGAGAAGGGCGAGGCCCCTGCGGCCTACATCCCCCAAAGCGATGAGGACTACGATGTCACTTTCAAGACCTGGATTGTAGTCAGCATCCTCTCTGCTAGTTATGGTATCTCTTTCTGGATCGTTCCTTCGCTCAGTGCCTGCGGCGCAAAGGTTGCTGCAGACCTTGGAGATCCTACCGGCGCCGCCTGGTTTGTCGCAATCTATCTGATGATGATTACCATTGCTTTCATGGTCTGTGGCGGTAAGTTGAACAGTTCTCCACCAGGACCGTGAGTCCCCTTTGCAAGAGCTAACATGCGCCTCCGCGTTGTAGCAAACAGCGATCTCTTTGGTCGTCGTTGGTTCATTGTCGGCGGCAATGTTCTCTTGTTTGTCGGTTTCTTCGTCGGCGGCGCAGCCAAGAACGTCAATGCCATGTACGCTGCCATGGCCATCATCGGCTTTGGTGCCGGTAATGCCCAGCTCGCCGCGTTTGCTCTCCCGGAACTGCTACCCAACAAGTGGAGGCACATTGCCATCGTCATTGCCGACATTGGAGTCTTCGTTGCTGTTGTCATCGGTCCCATCGGTGGCCGCTACTCGGCAGTCAACGGCGATGCTGTATGATATCTTACCCATCAAAGCACACATGAAAAAGTTGGTTAGCTAACAGGAATCTCTGCAGTGGCGATGGCTTTTCTACGCACCAGGAATCTTGAGCGCCTTCTCCTTCGGAGGGCTGTACATGTATTATTTTCCTCCGGCGCACCCTCGCGGCCTGCCCTTCAAGCAAGCTCTTCGCGAGCTCGACTACGGCGGTGCCTTTCTGTTCATTGCGGCGACCATCCTGACGCTGACCGGAGTCAACTATACCACGTTTTTGCCGTCGAACAACCCCAGGGTCGTCGGTCTTTTGGTCTCTGGACTCGTGGTCCTGCTCATCTTCGCCGTGTATGAGACATTCGTTCCGTTGAAGCAGCCCCTGACACCTCCACGCGTTTTCACAAGGGACCACGGGCGCGAGCTGACTGCGCCCTTCATTGCGGCCTTTGTGACAACCATGTATGTTCGCACCCTTCTCTACCCCTCCTACCACCAAAAGAGTCCACGGTTCTCATCACCATCACCATCATCACCACCACCACCACCTGCCCTTCCACAGCCTTGGGTTCTTGATCTAATTCACCCTCCAGGTACTATTACTGTATAAATATCGTGTGGCCAACCATGATCAATGTGTTCTTCACCGATGCAAATACTAGTCTAAGTTACCAAGTTGTATTGACACTACCTGGTAACTTGGGCCTAGTATTTGGAGGATTCTTATTATCAGCACTAGGAAGTAAGATTGGACACTGGAGATGGACACTGACGGCCTCTGTGTCCATTATGGTTGTGTTTGGTGCCCTGCTGGCGCTTGGTACCCCGACTCGTAAGGGGCTGATGATTGCTCTTGTCTTCATCAACCAGATTGGCTTCGGATGGGCTCAGTATCTCACCATTGCCTTTGTCCAATTTGGTACGGACCAGGTTGAGCTCGGTATCGCTGGAGGACTCGCGTGAGTACACTGCCTTCCTGTTTTTGCCCCCAAAAAAGGCGGTTTGCTGACGGACAACCTGCAGTGGCGTGGCCCGCTTCGCCGGTGGTGCGGTTGCCGTGGCTGTGTACACCTCCATCCTCACCAACGTGCAGACACAGGAGGCTGCCAAAGTCATCCCTCCTGCTGTTATCGCTGCCGGCCTGCCCGAGAGCTCGGTTGCTGCACTGATGCAAGCGCTGCCGCTCGGTGCCGCTGCGCTGGCCAAGGTACCTGGTATCACGAACGACATCGCTGCCGCGGCCGGCGCCGCGTTCCAGCAGAGTTATGTCGTCGGTCTGCGGACGACCTCCCTGTCTGCCCTGGCCTTTGGCGTCATTGCCATTATTGGTAAGCCGTGCGAGACCCGGGATGTGTGTTGTTGAGATGTCGGTCTTGCTAACACGCTGCCCACTCCAGCCTGCATCTGCTGTCAAGACATTGGCAAGAAGATGAATAACAAGATTGAGATCTACCTCGAGAACGATGTCCACGCGGACAGAAACAAGTATCACTAGTCTCCTCGACAACCCTTTTAACTAGCAATAGTAAATGTCAGTCGGGGAGAGCAAGGGAACACGCTTCGAGGCGTGATAATACGTTCTTTGGATTTTGCATGTTTGGGAGTAGGTAACGTTGGGCAGAGTCGTCTTTTACACTTGATACCTGGAGGGGCGGGTGGGCTGTGAGCTTTATTCATGAATATCCTGGTAGTAGCAGATAGTCCTTAACATCTAATCCAACACTCTTTTCGCAGGTAGTAGTCCGTGGTTACATTGCTTTGTAGGAGTCCAGTTCTCCACAATGCGGCGTCATACTAGTCTTGGTGTAAGTCGCACCGGAGACGGCCCAAACAGGCAATTCCCATGACATGACGTGACTGAAAGAGCTAGGAAGGTTTTGGGGGCCAGGAGCCACTGTAGAGAATATGCTTCTCCAATCGTTTTCCGCGCCCAGCGGCAGCACCCTCGCAGACCTGGCGGAGGAGTATTCCGTGAGTGTCTGCCGTCCCATCTCTGGAAGGCCAACGCACTCCGTAGGTGGGTGGTACCTAGTGCCACCATATGGCTGGGCGCACGCGGGCTCGTTGAATGGAACATTCTTGGCTTCTCATGAAAGATCTCTCCGTCGGCCATGGGCGGATAAGGCCATCCGGATTTCGATGTCACAGGAACCTGTTTGAGTGGGGACTGACCAATCGTGAGATGGGCCTTTCTCTACTTGACTGTGATGTTATGAGACTGAAAGGGAGTATATAAGTAATATTTCAAGTGTGTTCTGGTCAGTTCCGAGCCTCTTATTCCCGCTTGCATTGGTGACTTCAGGCACTAGGAGCGTTACGCCGGCAGCAGTCATAGCCTTGCGAATCGATATTGTCCCAAGGGAAAGCCAGCCAATTCATCATATGAGGAGTGATCACATCTTTTTATCATGGCACCTCCCGCCCCAGACTCGGATTTCTACCTGTTCGCCAACGTCAACTTCAAGCCGGGACGATACGATGCTGTAAGTGGCCCGAATGCGAGCAATCTCTATAAGCAAGCTTGGTTCACAATGTGAGCTGACAAGGGTGATGTGCCCGGTAACAGTGGCAGAAGGCGTACGATGGCCTGGGAGAGTATGTGTTTGCCAACGAGCCGACAACAAAGTCTTACTACTTTGGTGTGCCGCCCGAGTACAAGGACGACATCTCGGAGACGACCATGATGTTTGCCTTTGAGGTGTACGACAAGCGCGAAGTAAGTGACCCTGCGTGCGTGCGTCCATAGAAGACAACAAGCCGACCAACTCACACGCCACGCAACGCTCAGAGCCTCTACGTAACCCACTTCAACTCCGCGGCCATGGGCGAGTTCCAAAGGGGCGCCGTCCCGGAGATGGCCACGGGCTTCGACCTGCAGCACTACGCCTCGCTGGGCGGCTTCCTCGACGCGCCGGGCGACAGGCGCGAGTGCGGCGTCATGCACGACGCCCACGTCACCTGCAAGTCGGCCGCGGACCGCCGGGCCGTCGCCGACAGCCTGCGGCGGCTGGCCGCGTCGCTCGGGGCCGACGGCCTGGTCGGCGCGGGGGTGTGGACGTGGATGGCGTACGAGTGCCTCGACAACGAGACGGACCTGCGCATCTACGGCCGCTTCCGGGACTGGGACGCCATGAAGACGTGGGACCGGCGGGCGGAGGTGCTGGGCCTCTGGGAGAAGCACGGGTGGAAGGAGGTCGACAAGGTTGTGCAGAGGGCGCTCATTCCCACTGGCAAGGGGTGGCTGCACCGATAGAAGGGGTGGGACGAGTTCTTCGGGAAAAGGGGTTTGTGGGAGGTTTGAAGTCCAACAACACATTGGCATTATGCACTCGGGTCACATAGCAATCTATCTAACTTTACCCCCTTGATGAAGAAAAGAAGAATCTAAATCCAAGTTCACAGGTAGTATTATACAACTTGGTAGCTAAGTAAAGGATACATTGACCTTAGGGGAGCAACTTAATACCAGAGTCACCTTGCCTAGGTAGGTAGACATGTAGTGACTGCCAATGAGTGGTTTATTATTTGTATATTAGACTAAGGGTTGGTACCGAAAGCCCTCCTTTGATCCATCTGCCACACAGGAAAAGCCTGAGAAAAAAAAAACCAGCTCTGCTTGACCCCCTATCCTCAGGCCAAGAAAATGAGATCCAGCGAAGCCAGTTCCTGGTCCAACAATCCATGCATCTGCCACTGACCCAATGGCCCATGAAATCCCTTCCAAGAGCCGTAGTGTGAGAGATGCCGTTCCGAGAAGTGAAAAGAGTGAGGCGAGATGGAAGCAAGTGCTTTGTCGAGAAGCAGTCGCGGACGAGAGATGAGTGCCAAGTGAGGGAATGATATTATCGCCGTAGTGTGGCGGACGTAAGAGACCGGAGCTCCTGAGTCGTCTCAGCTTGGAGCAGATTCAGCCAGCATGGTGCTGGGAGAAAGTGTTTTTTTTTTGACCGGCGAGGCGGTCTTGCCGATGAGAGAACAGAGGAGTTGGGTGAGGAGAGAATCGATCTCAAAGCACCGCTCGATGTAGGCGGTGGAAAGATTGTCTATCAAACGAAGACACTGATCGTCCGCCGGCTGCTTCCTCTCTTAGGGAGAGGGTTTGGCATGGGCCACAAGTCGTCATTTACATGACAACGCAGTAGCCGCCGGTGACATCGCCGCCCATGTGGTTGGGGGGAACCTTGGTGCCGGTGTTCTGAGTGGAAGGCATGTTGAATTTTTTGGGGTTGACTTGAAAAGTCGGAAGCTGAAGTGCTTGATGAGTGAGAGTAGAAGAAGATGATTTGAAGTCTGGTGATCAGGAGGAAAGAAGATGTCAGGACTGGAAGGGAAGGAATCATGTTATTTATAGGCAAACGTCCAGGAGGAAGGGAGACAGCTAGATCGAGGCAATGGCAAGGCGGTAGCATTCTTCCTGCGTGTCCATTATCGAGAGCCGGTGACCGCCGAAGAGGCTGTCCTTGTTGCTCGCATCTATTTTCCCCTGAAGACAAACGTGATGCCTCACCACCCATTCATTACCTTCAGGTCATACGGACGGCGCTTAATATTATTCCCTTAGTATTGTTCTCCCAGAAACAAGGAACAGCTTTATGCCAACGACCAGCAGGTTGTCCCAATGCGGGCCGACGAGCCACATCTTGTGCTTGACAGACGCCACCTAGTTGAAGCTGAGATCGCCAGGTTTGTCGTCCTCGTCGACATCTGAAAGGAACGCTTAGTATTGTTGTCGGGAGAACAATACTAAGATAAGTCTTTGTCAGTCAAGGGGGTTGGCGAATTGGTGGTTCTTTGCTAGGGGTGGAGTCGAGTCTTCGTATTGTTCCTTAGTATTGTCCAAGTGCAAGCAAACACCTCCGGGCTGGAAGCGCATGATTCGACACCACAACCTCACAAACAAGCTCACGCGGCAGGGGCAAATATCGGTTCAGATGAGGGTTTGTTAATACAGCTTGGCGACGATGGCATTTGTTTTGGGAGATAAGCCCCTCCTAATTACAATCTGATCGGCAGACCACCACCACCAACCCGGAAGCAAGTCGGCGAGCGGCGATCGACGTCTCGGCCGGTAGAGATAGCCCCTGACACAACCCAACACAACAACATGATAAACGCTACTAGATCAGAAGCGAGTGAAGGGCAGCCTGGACTCGAAAGTTAGCGAACGCCCCTTTTTGCCTGTTCCGAAGAAAACAAAGGAACCGCCGGTCAATACATACCACTTCCCCCGCATCGAGATGTTGACCCACGCGACGCCCTGCTCGTCGACCTCCTTGTCGACCTTGGTGCTAAAGGCGATGGCGCTCATGATGCCGTCGCCAAACTTCTCGTTCATGACGGCCTTGTAGGCGTAGCCGTAGTTCTGGACGATCTCGTACAGGCGGTAGATGAGCGGCTCGACGGGGGGCATGGGCCCCGCGCGGCCGCGGTCCGGGTAGCCGCAGAGCTTCTTGACGACGACGTCGTCCGAGATGCCCAGCAGGGAGGCGAGCTTGGCGGCGTCGTCCGGGGTGGCCTGCGCCTGGCCGTAGAACAGCGCGGCGACGGCGACCTCGGAGCGGCCCAGCTCCTTGGCGATGGCCTCGAAGGTCAGGTCCTTGGCGTCCTTGGCCTGGAAGAGTGCCTGGGAGTGGGCGGGGAGGCGGTCGAGGATGGAGTCCTTGTCGACTGCTGTCAATGTGGGAACATCAAAGGCAGGAGGGAAGAGGAGGGATTGCGAGGGTTGCCATCGTCGTCGATGCAGACGGAGATAGCAAGTGGTGCGCAAGCGACAAGTCGCAAGGAAACGGCAGCACGAGAGGTTGCACTTACATCCACGGTAGCGAGTCTGGGCTGCTCAGACATGTTGATGACGACTGCGGACTGTACTATGTATGTGTAAGTCTTGTGCGGCTGGGGCCGGGGTTGAGAGCTTGGGCCGGAGCAACGGGAGCAGAGGCTCTTTCTTACTGGAGGACGAACCACGGAACTGTTTGATGTCTAACACACGGGGAGGGGAGGAGTGCACCTTGTCACAAACACACAGACTCGTTTTAGAATGGGATAGAGAAAGGAGAATGAGAGAATCCCAATTGAGGAGATATATGTTTGAATATGCGCCGAGTCTATGTCATCTATCCTAGAAAGTCTTTGGTAATACATCCAACATTGTATGCGGGGCCGACGAGCGGTGCGCTTGGCGCAGCTCTGTGACTCGTCGACCCCGCGTCTCCACGGCCCTCCTGCGCTCGGAGAAAAGCCGGAGTGTCGGGAACCCTCAACGGCACTTCTTGTGGTGCCGAGGCGATTTCCCGCCTCTCTACCTCTGCTGTCTTTCCACTGCCAATCTCCAAAATATCATCAAACAGAATTGTGGATTTGGATGAGACCCAAAACATCAGTTGGGCTCTCTGCCTCCCTTCTCACTCTGCGCGTCCAGAGTGGCCCTCGGCGTGGATGTGCGCTGGGGGCGCTGGCGGATGATGCAGCCAGCTCTCATCGAGCAGGTTGCATATGCCAAGATGAATGTACATATGTATATATATATATGCTTGGTGGTGTGGTGAAAAATAAACCAAAACAGACAGAATCGCTATGCATGTATGTCGCTTCTTTCAAATCTTGGCCCAGTTGAGCTTGGCCGCGGCCTTGATGTCGTCAACGTTCAGCATGGCAATGCCCTCCTGCACGAGCGTGTCCCAGATGCGGTTGCGGATGCTGACGGGCCAGGCAGGCAGGTCCCAGTAGCGGGGCTTGAGGCCCCGGTTCGCCGCCTCCATCAGCTGCGTCCGCACCTTGCCCAGCTGGCTCTGCGCCATGCCGCCGAACCAGACGCGGCCGATGGACGACCCGAACGACACGCTCGAGTAGAACGAGTTGGTGTGGTCGTACGCGCTGTCCTGGAGCTTGTCCAGGGGCGCGTCGAAGAAGACGTCCCTGTACGTGGCGTTGGCGACGAGCACGTCGAAGGGCGTGTTGCCCGTGCCGACGACGGTGACGGGGCCGTAGTGCACCGTGCCGTTCTCAAAGTACGTCAGCCAGCCGCGCGAGCGCAGCGGCTCGAGCTGCTCCATGACCCTGCGGATGGTGGATGCCCCGTCGGTCTTGACGTCGACCAGCAGCGCCAGCGTCTGGTCCGGGTCCATGTCAAACACGCCGTTGTGGGTGCGGTTGGCGAACTTGGATCCCGAGTTGGTCCGCGTCAGGATCTCGACCAGAGGGTTGATGTAGAGCGACTCGAACGTCCGGTTCGGCTGCAAGGCCGACTTGACGTGGCCGACGTAGAGGTTGGGGTCGTTCTCAAACTCAAAGACGTCGGCCTCGACGCCGGTGCAGCCGACGTGCAGGGCCGAGAACAGCGGCACCTTCCGCCAGTAGTCGTTGTGGGAGTGGATGGGCTTGGGCAGGACGTCGCGCAGGAAGTCAGTCGGGTACCACGCCAGGCCCTCGGTCCCCGTGCCGCCCCGGCCCCAACTGGCGAAGATGACATCGGGGTCTTCTTCGGCGTCGCCATAGGCGGATCGAGAGATGAAGATCAGGATGTTGAGAACGAGGAGGACAGCCCTGTACAGACCTGGTCAGCATGCGGTGGACGAGGAGGCCTGGCGGCTTCGACTTACAGGAGCGTGAGACCCAGGACGGAGCCGCAGATCAGCCAGCGACGTCTCCTCTTCGGGCGGGAATGTGAGATCAAGGTCTCCTCGTCGACCAGATACGTGTCCGAAGAGTCGTCGTCGTCGTTGTCGTCCTCTGACCCGGAGGCGACCTGCTCGTAGTCGGGTCTCCGGCCCCTGAGCGCTCTGATGCGATAGGTGCTGGCAATGTGCCGCACCGCGGAGAGGCCATGGGTTGTGGGGGTGGACTGCTTGTCGGAAGACGACTTGCGCTCGAGAGGGCTGGCGACCTCGGAGCTAGGAGAGGAGGGCTGGCTGAAGGAGGCGGCATCCTCAGACTGATCGACTTGCTTGATGTCGATCTTGGAGTCCTCCATCTTCTTGTCCGAGTCCGAGTCGAAAGACTTGACCGTGTTAGAGAAACCCATTCTGCAATGTCCTTTGACGACCTGCACAACTCAGAACCTACTGGTCAAGATGACTGTCGGCCTTGGAACGAAACAACGAGAACGAAGAAAAAGCACAAGCAACCCCGAGGGGCTATACAAGATGTGTATGAACCTGGCAAGTCTCACGAATCTCACGTAGAAGGTGTGTAACTGCGGGCGTCGGATTCCGGCTGTATTGACCAAGGGTGTGCCTCTCTGCCTCTCTGTTGTCTGTGGCGTGTGTGTCGCGAGTGTCAAGACGCCGGATCCCGCTCAGTTAGCTCGACAAGCAGCGTTCGAGTCAAGTGTTTCAAGCCGCTTGTTTGGCTACCGAAACACCATACATGCGGGACTTGTTGATTCTCAGCATCATGAATCCCTGGGAGACGGGGGGGGGGCAGGTATAAGTATATCACGGGGGAGGCACACGATCAGCGTGTGAGGGTTTTATTTAGCCAGCATGTCAGAGATGGGCCAGAGGATGGGATGGAAGAGAGCCAGGCCCACGACCGGGATTAACCCAAGAGAAGCCAGACCACCCCAGCCCGTTGGTAGCCCCGTCGACAGCATGTTAGTGCCGCAGTTAGCTCCTGACCCCAATTACTCTGCTGCCTACGGATACAAGTACATGGACCTGGAGTGGGTAAAAAGGTCGGCGGTGGTGGAGGCGAGATGGTGGCTATTCTTCTTCTGAGTTGAGGCCCGTGGAGGGCGATCCGGGGCGATTGCTACGTAGTGCGAAAGGGGAGCGGCGCCCATCACGGATCACGGGCTGAATCGCGGCCTGGGATTGGCATCCTCAGCTCGATGGTGGTCTCATCCATGCTGCTGTGGGCTACCGAGGGACATGAACAATCCAAGTTAAGCTGTGTCGAGGCTAGCACGCAGCTTCGTACAAAGTCTCTCTCATCTAGCCTGCATTTTTAGCACGGGAGACCCTGGATCCAAACCATTGGTGGCATTCTGGGTCGGGGGCCTAGACCGTCACTCTACAAGTGCTGGCTCAAGGGTGGTACTCGGTGTCCCGAAGTTGGCGGCCATAGGCTGCATCGTTTAACTTGGCTTCACATCCCGGCTCCCTCCTCTGGCCTCCTCCTCTCCACTTGGCCCACACGCATGCAGCCATCCCTGTCTGCCGCTATCTTGAACCTGGCCAGTTCTTCTCCTCACCTCACATGGCGGGGACAAGCTTTTCCACTCGGCTGTACCCAGTGGCCGGCGTGGGAGGTCCCTCGCTCAATCCGGTCCAGCAGTGCTGCCACTTGCACCCAAGTGCTTTTCCTTGGTGAAGCGAATTGGCTTGTTGATAGTCGCGATGAACAAACTCGGTGCAGGGCGAAACAGCTTGATCCTATCTACTTGTACTCGTGCTTCAATCAAACTCGGTAGACTAGGTACTATTTAAAATTCCCCTCTTTCTCTTCCCCCCCAGCATTTGGCTGTGGCACATCCGGGGGCTCTGGCTGCGAGAGGTTTAGCGTCAACGCTGGAGATCCAGACCAATTGAGACCGCGCTTATGCTTACCGCCAAAGGACAAAAAAAAAAACAAAAAAAAAAAAAGCCCTTCCCGCAAAGCCACATCCTTTGGTACCACCAGTTTGGGGGTTCTTGATATCGCGTCTGTATCTGCTTGATCCTCCCCACAACCGCATCATCATCGATCATTCCCTCTTCCCAAGGCTGGCCAGGTGAGGCGATCGACAATGCCTCACAAACACAGCCGCAGAGAAAAGGATCTTTCCAGGTACGTCATTGCTGCCTGCGTACACTGTACGCGGGTTCTTCACCATTGCCAAGCTCTGGCTAATGTGAGTACGTCTGGAACCGTGACAGCTATGATCTTCCCCCATCTCAGATCGCCAGACCTCTGCCGGTGACGACCATCTCCAAAAAGAATGCGCCCGCCGCCAACAAGAAGGGAAAGGATACGACTGCTGCAAGGAGCAGCAGCAGTGGCAACAACAAGAGGAAACGCGGCGCTGGCAGCCAGGATGATGCGCCTCGTGCTTTCAAACGCCTGATGGCCCTGGCCGATGGGAAGAAGACTCGGTCAGGACTGGACGATGGCGCAGAGAAGCGCAGCAAGAAGGCCAAGGCAGCAAAGAAAGAGACAGCTCCCGCAGCAGCGGAGGAAGCGCCGATCGAGATCCCCAAGATCAGGCCCGGAGAGCGCATGTCTGAGTTTGCAGTACGCGTCAACGCGGCGCTGCCTCTGACAGGGCTGGTCAGCAAGACGGTCAAGAACGGCAAGGATCCACTCGGCCTCAAGGTCCAGCGCACGAGGAAGGAGAAGAAGATGCACAAGCTCTACGACCAATGGCGCGAGGAGGAGCGCAAGATCAAGGAGCGTAAAGAAGAGGAGGCCGAGCTCGCCGAGGAGCAGGAGATGGAGGATGATGCTGCCGGCGTGACGTGGAAGCTCGACCTCGAGGAAGGGACCTCGGGCAAGGCGGGAAAGAAAAAGAAGAAGGGCAAGAGGCGGCGCCTTCTTGGCGAGACTGCGGGCAAAGAGGACGACCCTTGGGCGGAACTGACCAAGAAGCGCGGAGAGCAGAAGATCAAGCTCAACGACGTGGCACAGGCACCCCCTGAGCTGCCCAAGATGGCTGCCAAGAAGATGCTGGTCAGGGGCGCCGCCGTCGAGGCACACAACATCCCCAAGTCTGCAGGCAGTTTACGGCGGAGAGAAGAGCTGCATGGCATCCGCGAGGATGTGGTTGCGTCGTATCGGAAGCTCATGGAGGAGAGGCGTGCGCAGAAAGGACGCAGGTGATTGCATATGGTTGCTGATCCTCCATCTCAATCAGGGGCTTGAGTGTTGTATCACACTGCCTGGTGTACAAGTAGAATGTCGGTATAGAATACCCATTGATGTCACCTCCCGTGCCATGTGAGGCTTTGCCCGCTACATAGCAAGCATTACACATCGCTAGAACTATTGGCTCAAGACGCAACACAGGATTGGGGTATCATGTTGCCTGGATGTCTACACTTTGTAGCCGTCATGCTTCCATGTCTGTGAAAATGGACATCTGGCCATCCTTGATCCTATAATAAGCAAGGCAGCAGAATGAAAAAAATAGGCAGAGGTTGTCGGGTAGTACAGATGGCTGAACTTGGGAATGCACGAGCAGATCATGCGCAAGCACCGCAGCCAGACTGGACTGAGCCGCAGGGCTGCGACGATCCCAGACTGGTGATGGATGTCTATGTACAAACAAGCATGCATCAAGAAAGTATCAAAGGGACTTGTGTTTCTGCTTGGGTCTTATTCTGGAAGTAGCCAATCATATAATTTGTGCCCCGCTTTTCGCATACCCCACCATTCCGGCGAGCAACTTTGTCGTCCCTGCTGCATTCCACACCCATTCCACCACGCCCATCTATCTCTCTCCCCACTCTTGCCCACCCAAAGAAAAAAACAAGGGTGTTCAAGTGCCCAACTCGACCACACCAGTTCGATCACCACTTCTGACACAATTTACGCGCCCTCTCCCAAATCTTGCCTTGCGGAACATGATAGCACAACCCTGCCAGAACCATGGCCAAAGGACTCGATGAGCTCGTCGAGTGGCTCATTGCAGAAATATCCTACTCTGGCGAGACTGGTAAGTTTCTTTTCATCTCCTTCTCACTGTGGCTTCACTTTTTTTGTCGGCCGATCATGGCGCACAAGACATTGCTAGAGGGCAAAAAGAAAAACAGGCCAGGATCGAACAGCAGTCCGGTCTGAACTCTCCTTAGCTATCATAGAAGCTAGCTCGTGTCTATCTCCTAAGAAGCCGCAAGGGATATGAGAATGTTTTGAGGCGTGTATTTGCAGAGCGCAAGCAACCTTCGCGTTTTCAGAAGTAGAAGAGGAGAAGAAATAAGAGCTGACTATTTGTCCAGGCTTCAGTGTCGACGACTTCATCTCGGCCACCTCCAGGTACTACACTGGAAAATGGGCACGGCCGGGTTCCAGCGATGGGAGTGATCCCAAAGTGAATCAGGATCATGACGGCGCGCCTCCGGCAGTTCCTGGAAGCAATGGAACTGTCAACCTGGCACGCAAAGCATGGCCCTGGGTGGTCATGAGAGACGAGGTGTCTGTGGGGCATGAAAAGGCTTGGAACCATCTCCCGTTCGATTCTCTCCTCGCTCTACCGAAGGAGGGACCGCCCATGGATCCTGCACTGGCTGCAGAGGATACGTCCCTGGTCTCCAGCGAAACTCACTCCAAGGAGCCAACTGCAAAGGCATCCAAGTCGTCGGGTGAATCTGATATTCCGCTCGTCCAGCCACGGATCTATGTCTCTGAGGAGGCCGCCTGGGTCGCCATCACAGGCCATGGGCCTGACTACAAGCGCATTCCCCTGCTCGAGTGGAGATGTCTTCTGGGCATCGCTTCCGCTGGTAGAGAAGGCATCATTCAGGGCGACCTCCGCCAACTGGTCAACCAGGACAAGCGCTCCGTCCCCAAGCGGACTGACTTCCTCGCTGCGAAAGGCTACATCGAGAAGCGCACCATCATCGCCAGAGCTACAAAGACAAGCAAGCTATGGATCACCAAATTCGCCCCCCCAGAGCTCACACCGGTCCGTACCCGCCAATTTGGACAGGCCCAAGGGTTCAATCTTACCCAAGACTTCCTGACCAAAGATCTGGACCCTGTCCCTTGGTGCGACCGCTGGACTGGCTCGTCAATCGACCATCCCATATTTAGCCAGACCGCCCTCGCCATTGTCAGGGCTTGGAATGTGATGAGGCTCACAGACCTCAAGATGAAGATGGGCATCCACGGCCAGAAATGGCAGATGAGGGTTCTTGCCAGAACCTTTCGCAGACTGGCAACCATGGGGCTCGTTAGATACGTCGCCGCGATGCTACCCGGCCGGCGCCAGGTCTTGAAAGATTGCGTCAAGTGGATACGTGAGCCGACAGAGGAAGAATGGGCTGAGCACTTGGCCACCGGCACCAAGCATTCGCAATACTCAGACCACTCCCATGACCGGCAGCCCAAAGATATTGTCGCTGCTGCTGGTGCACAAAAGCCGGCTCTGGCTCAGAACGCTGAGGATGCTGCAGGAGAAAATGCGGAAGACGAGGAGGATGAGCAGATCTTACCCGCAATACGTTCGCCTTGGGACATTGACAAGCCCTTTGCAAATCAGGTGTTTGAAGAAGTCAAGCGGGCTGGTCCTCGTGGAGCCACCAACCCTATGATTAGCACGGCGACGATCGGCTTTGCCTTTCGCCGCTACATTTATGCCTGGCTGCAGCAAGCCGCCAACCGAAACTGCCAGCCAGCACATCTAAGGCATTTCCAGATCCAAAGCCAGCTTGTCCGCATTGGCAAGACAGAGGCTTATGTATTCGCCGCCAAGGAGACATCTCAAGTGAACAATCCCGCGGACGACAACACCCAACAAGACCAGGAGATGCCCATTGATGAGCCGGTGCAGATCGCCTCTAGCACCTCTGCTTCTTTCCGATTCTCTGCGCTCCCTAGCTTCATCTCCAGCCAGGCCGATATGCCCTCCCTTTCTGACCTGAGCCTCAAGCTGGCAAGTAAGCATCGTCCCGTACGGCAGTATCGGCGGGCGAGGACAGCGCTCCCTGAGCACTCGGTCGCACCTGGAGCCGGCGTTGCAAGTTCTCCAGTTGAGGCTGTCGCTCACCAAACTGAGAATGAGGCTGCCATAGGAGTCGAGGCTGCTGCTCACCAGACTGAGAATGAGGCTGCCCGAGGTGAGGAGAGTGAAGGAGAGAAAGAGGCCGAGATACCTCCCGAGCCCAAGCCGATTGGCGCATTTCTCGCTGCACCAGGATCTTTGGATCTCAACCCGAGAAGACAGGGACGTCCGAGAAAGTCTGTTGTTATCTTGGTGAGGTTGGAACAGCTCAAGGATCCTGAGTTTCTGATCAAACGTCGTGGTGCGGAGACGACCACTCCCCCCCAGACACAGACACCAGACATGGATATGACAACTCACGATGAGGCTGGTGCCGAACCCAGCAGCTCCAAGAAGAGAAAGGCCGAGGATCGAGCTTCAGGAGAAGAGGCTTCTGACCCAGCCGTCTTGAATGTCGAGACTCGTTACAATGGAGCGAAAGGAACTCTGGTCTTTTGCGAAGCCGATAGGACGATTCGCTTTGAAGCTACCGCTGCGGATGGCAGCGAGCCACTTGTCATCAAAATCGATGATCTAGCTTCCGACCCAACAACTCGAGACGCTCCTGGAGGCGACGATAAGGCACTGGTTCTCAATGCCCGAGAAGGCGGCAGTGATGCGGTTTGGCCGTACATTTTTCTTCTGGGCAACACACCAGAGGCAAGAGAAAAAGCCACGTCGTTCCAAGAGGCTGTCATCCATGCAAGGATCCAGGAAAAGGATGCCACACCAGTCGACGAAGAAGCTCCTGAGGCAGGAGCTGAGCAGGATGCGAACGAAGATGGTACTCAGCCACGCAAGGGCAGGCCTCGTGGGAAAAAGAATGCTAGAAAGGGTGGCGCGGCTTCGTGGAAATGCGACCAGTGTGGTGGTACCTGGAAGAATGATGTTGGCTTGAAGTACCACTTGACAAAATCTAAGACGTCCTGCAACAAGGACTACGTCCCCGAGACGATCTTTGAAGACCGCCCCAGGAAGCGGCAGAAGGTGCAGCGTAAGCTATATGAGCTCGGCCCGAGCTTCACAGAACCCCCGACCACGGCCAGGGCGCCAGCGCCAGTTCCGGCTCCGGCTCTGGCTCTGGCTCCAGCTCAAGCAATGACCTCGACCCCGGCCCCGGCCCCGACTCCAGGTCCAGCCCAGCTATCACGCTCGCTCAGGTCCAACCCCGAGAAAATTGCTTCGAAACCGCAGCGTCATCTCATGACCCGGAAATCTAGCGCGATCAATATGACGAGCCTTGCTCCCCGGGGCTTCATGGTTGATATAGCCCAACCGCCGGATCCCGCACAGACACCGATGAGACGGACCACGCCACCTCCCATTGCACGTCCGACGGCCACCGAGCAGCGTACTCGCCTTCCAGTCAGCTCGAAGCCCACCAAGGCCGTGTCGAAGCAGATTGAGGTTATCAGTGTACCACAGACTTCAAAAGAGCCAGCCAACCGGGCGCAAGCCGAAACGGACTTCATCGCTGGCCCAAACCAAACATCGCATGCCGACATGATGTTCCTTGACCCTCGGCTGCGAGGCATTGATCGCTCACCCTCGGTTGTGGGCCACCGAAACTCTGTTCAGGATGCAAGTCCCTCGGGAGCGAACCAGCGCATGCCTGTTGGCGAGTCGCGCCAGCCACTTGGTGAACAGCCTTTGACCTCCAACATCCAGCTTTCTCTCTCTGGACAGCCTGGTGGACTCATCAATCAAGACGAAGATCATCGCTTAGATACTAGCAGCGGCCTTTACGAGACGCCGGCCGCGAGTCAAGATAATGAAGAGCCCTACGACCAGTCTGAATTCACAAGCGCGACATTTGAGCTTCCCTGCCGCCCGCCGCCTTTCTTCATGCCAGCAGGCAGAGACCTGGCAAGAATGACAGCTAGTCAAGTCAGGATTCATCAATCCGAGGAGATCATCAAGTACTTCCTAGAGCACAACGGAGGCGTCTTTCCTGCCCAGCAGGCACTTTGGTTCGCAGTCATCACAACTTTCCTCAAGGCGTTCCCCGAAGAGAACCCACCGCGCAAGAGTGTTTGCACTAGAGCTCTCAACAAACTGATCAAAAAGAAGATGGTGTCTGAGCATGTGTTCGGATTCAGGCATAGGATGACGAAAATCGTACATGTTCGAATCCTGGTCAAGACCGGTGTGAGCCCCAACGGGCCGGTTGCGAAGGCCCTCAAGGAGAAGATGCAGGCAGCTTACCCCCGCAACTATATCCCACCGGCGTTCTCTCCCAACGAAGAAGACCTCAAGGCACTCGAGGATATGGAACCGGATCTTGAGCGCGACAAGAACGTTACTACTCAGCGTGCTATAGCTGAGGAAATCGAAGTGCTTGCAGCGCCGTTCTATGAACGTCAGTCTCCAAGAAAGCGGAGGGCCGCCGACGATGAAGGCTTTCCTCTACATGATTATGACAGGAGCAAGAGGAGAGCGGATTATGACATCCGCGAAGGAAGCCCACCAAGCAACAACAAGATGGCTCCAAGAGACTGCCAAGAACCGGCCCGTGATGTCGATATCTTGGACATGGAAGGACCTGATGTGGAAGATGGCCAGGAGGGACTGCACTACGCCGACCATTGGGAATATGAGGATCCCAGTGCTGCAGGGCGGATGTCTTTGACTAATGCTTTCAAGCGCTATCACTTGACAAGCCGCCGCCACAGGAGGAAGAATCATCTTGCGTTGCAGGAAGTCTATGATTTCGAAGCTCCATCCTCGCCGAGAAGCACCGAGTTGGATGAGAGGATTGAAGAGATGTTTAATGAACCCCTCCTCAAGTTTTCTCGTCCACAGATTGGGGGCTCTTCCAACCTTCCCCAAGTCAACCTTACCTTCCTAGAGCCGAACGCATTTTTGGAGGATGACCCAGAGCAGGATAGCAGTATTTCACGATCACCCACTCCTGTGGAAGGACTTGCTGGAGCGGCTGGACTGCCGGTCGTGCTTGAGGCACCCTTGCTGCCCGAAGGACCGGCAGTACCACAAGTACCAGAAATGCTCATGGAACATGAAGCACATGCACTGGTGAAGACACAGCCTAGAACACGCAAGACGAAGGCCGGGAAGAAACGCGGACTGAAACCCAGAGTCTCGTTCGCCCAAGAAGGGACAGAAGAGACCCCAGAAAATGTCTCTACTATTCACAGAGCTGGTGCTCTTTCAGAAGATGCCAGAACAGAAGGGCACGCCGGTGCTCAAGATGCCATGCAGAGCATTACATCCACAACGACTGCTGTCGGACCTTGGACCGAGACGATAGTCCTCCAGGGAGCTTCTACATCGTCCACTGCTGTTCCCAACCTTCCAAACTCTTACTTTGAGGAAAATTGCGAAATGAGTTTTACGCTCAAGGGCTGGCAGCCTGATCTGGGCTTCATCTTGCGGAGCCATCTGCCACAATCCCTCGCAGACATCGGTGCCGTTACCAGAGGATTCTTCAGGCGAAATGTATGGGCTGATCCGGACTGGGCTGATTTCAACCAGAAGGTTGATGGCTGCCTGAAGTGGGAGCTGTCACAAAATGGGATGTTTTTGTTGTCAATTCCAGCCCCCACGACCGAATATTTCTTTATGAATTTCGACGCACCCCGAGTCACAGATCCCAATCCCAGCCAGCCAATCAATCTTGAGTGGGCTGGGGAGAACCAATTCACCATGAGGACCATTCCATACCAGGCTCTCATCGAGGAGAGCGGCAAGGAGCCCGACATTGAAGACTACGAAGATTGGAACATCTCAACCAAGACCGACCATAAATCTCCAAGCAGGAGAAAACCTGGCCGTCCACGGGGTTCTCGGAGCAAAACGCGTCGTCGCATAATACCTCGTGCAAGACGTCGGGGAACGCGGGTCAGTGCGCCAAAACTGCCCGTCTTCAGAAAGACGCGGGAGCATACAACGTACCCACACTACCCGGAAGACCACTTCCAGGATATGGAGGAGATGGACGATGTGGACTGGAAGGCCGACGACACTCGCATTGCTGCGTTTGTTGCCGTCCGTACTTTGCTCGGAGGAGTCGATAAAGTTCCCGATTGGGGCGTCATGTTGCGGATCTTTCCCGACTCGAAAATCTCCAACCTCCGGCAATTCTGGGTCAACATCAAGAAGGAGCGCCAGCTCTACATCGACAGCCTCACGGCCAAGTTCCAGGAAGCCTTTCTTGAGGCGTACGAGAAGAACGAAGTTGCCCCGTTGGATTACGACAATGTCCTGGCCTATGATTGGAGACGACTCGTGTCCTGGACCACGAAGTTGGTAGTCAACGACGCACAACTCCTGCCTGCAAAGCGTGAAGTGGTGCAAAAGGAGTACTCGATAGTGAAGAGTGCTGCCAGGGGGGGGGAGTGGCAGGAGCGGTATTACCAGAATGTGCGTTCTGTGTGGAAGAGGTTCCAGGACGCGACGTCGGAAGCTGCCGCATTCTCTCTCGAGCCGGAGGCTGCGGGTGGAGATCTATCAACCGACGACACAATCGCAAGGTCTTGGCTCCGAGCCCTGTGCCGCACACCGCCAGCGAAGTATTCTCCAGATGCTGTCCGGGCAGCGCTGCTGAAGCTCGGCGAGCGCACGGATAGGGAGATCAACGAGCTCCTGAACACGGCGCTCAAGGCCCTCCGGAACAACCGCGTGATCAAACAGACCAAGATCAACACGCACAGCACGCCTGATAGGCCCTACCAGTTCAGCGATCATTGGATCAACCAGCTCGACAAGCAGTCGCAGCGCGAAAAGTTCATCCAGGCCGGGCAGTTCAAGACCCATCTCGACGAGTGCTTCCGCAATGGCAAGGCGTACGATATTCCCTACAGCGTAGACGACGGCGCAATCCTGGTGTTGATCAACCTCCAGGCCCACGGCCGCATCCGGATCGAGCCTGTGGGACTCGAGGACATGACGTTCGGCTTCGACCCGGGCAACTACGAGTCGAGAAAGTACCCCAAGGAGTACTACCACTTCGACACGCGCGCCGTACCCACGGACCTCTACAGGTACAACGAAGACATCGAGGACGTCGTGTGTCGTGCGGACGGCGTGCAGCGCCCCGGCCGGGGCCCGCGTGGCGAGCTCGGAGTCTGGTGCGATTTCTTCGGCCAGGTGGCGCCGGAGCCGTGGGTCAAGGTCATGGGGGCGGTGGTGTTCAGCATCGCCACGCGCGGCTCCATGGACGCGTCGCAGCTGTCCTCGGCCCTGAAGCCGCTGGTGGAGCCGTTCGAGGCCGGCATGATCCTCGACTGGGCCGTCCGAGCGGGCATCCTGGCGGCGCCGGTGCAGAACAAGGGCTGGACGACGAAGGAGTGGTGGTGGTTGGTCGTGGCGAGGGAGTATGAGCGGATGGAAGGGGCCGGGTTCGGAACTGCTTGAGCAGGCCCAAGAAAGGTCTGCACAGGTTCGTGGATTGTTTATTTGAAGTTTGAAAGGGTTTGATGGTTTTGTGCTTTGTGTGTGGGAGGAGGATTCACTTTCATCTATGATACCCCCTTTTTCATGTTTACAGTGTCTGGTATTAGTGCGCAGCTTTCTTTCCTCACTTGTCAATTCGACATCGGCATACAGGGTCTTAATCAAATAACATTGTTATAAAGGTTCGATTGAACATCGTGAGCGAGTTCTAACTTGCCCGACGCTGCCAAAACGAGTAGCTCAAGCCTTGAAGGGACCTTGAAACCAGACAATGCAGCATGTATCCATAGATGGTATTCTCTATATCATATCTACACTGGCCAGGGACTCTCCAAGAAGAAAGGGCCCATGAAAACAAAAAATGCAATGCAACGCCGTTCCTTGTGTATACACCTGGTTTGTGGGTGGTATATGACCATTTTCGAGGAGGGGTAGAACACATACCTACTCCTCGCCTTATAACGCCAGCAAAAATAAAGAAGAGCCCGAGTCGTCCCCCTTTCGATCTCCTTCCTCAGACAATATGTGACACACTCCCATATCAATCAGGAGCTACATCTGTCCCCCCCCCTTCTCACAAGCCTTCCGCCGCCGAATGCTACTGCTCATGCAGCAAAGGTCCTAATCAGCATGGCGATGAGCAGCACGGCGATGATGACGATGGCCCGGTCGACCCACAGCGGCACGGCCTCGGCGGCCGACGAGTTGCGGTGCACCTGCTGCTGCTGCTGCTGCTGCAGCTGTGCCTGCGCCTGCGCCAGCACAGGCGGCTGCGGGTTGGGCAGGGGGATCGTCCTCGTGGGCTGGGGCCGCGGTGCCGCGGCCACGGCGGGCGCGTGCGGCTGCGGGGTGCGGGGCTGCTGATCGCGCGGCCTCTGCTCGGCGCGCGGGGGCGCCACCGTCTGCACGAAGCCCTCCGCCAGCTCGGCGCTCTCGGCGTCCTCCGCCGCGGGGCCCTTTCCTCCGCCGCCGCTGGCCTCCGTCTTGCTAGCTGCTGCCGCTGCCGCGGCCGCCGCGGCCTCCATCTCGTCCCGGAAGCCTAGACGCAGCTCGGCCGGCACGACGACCTCGTCCCCCGGTCCTCCTTCCTTGTTGTTCCCCGAGCCGGTGGCGGCGGCGGCAGCGGCAGCGGCGGCCTCGTAGTCGTCCTTGCACTGGCGCATGACGTCGGCGTTGGTGCGGCCGGCGGCGCAGGTGGGGCAGGCCCAGGCGGCGGACTCGGCGGCGAGGCGGCGGCGGACGGCGTCGGTGGCGTCGAGCCCGCCGACCTGGCCCTTGGGGTCGGTCTCCATGAAGGAGCGCAGGGCGACGAGGGCGGTGCGGACGCCCCAGGCGGGCTGCCAGGTCTCCTCGTGGTGGCCGCTGATGGAGAGGCAGATCTCGCGGTTGGCCTCGAAGCGGCCGCTCGGGGTGAGGAAGCGGAAGGACGGGGGCCGGAGCGGGTACGAGGGCGGCAGGACGATGCGGCCGTGGTAGATGCCGTCGGCGTAGGGGCTGTTGGGCGGGCCGCGCAGGGTGAAGTGCCACTCGAACAGGTCGGTCTCGAGGGGCGTGGCGGTGTAGTCTGGGGAGGGGGAGGAGGAGAGCTCTTGGGCCTCGCGGACTGTGTGGCCGAGGGGAGAGAGCTTGGTTAGGGCTTGGCTTTCTGCGGGAAGAGGAGGGGAGACGGAGGACTCACGGATGCGCCGGATGGTGGGAGATTTGGTGTTGAACTTTGGAGAAGCCATGGCTCAGTCGGGTGTGGATGGCTTCTGCGACACCGTGGTCGGCGTGGCGCTTGGTTGAAGACAAGGCGGTGCGGGCGTGTCGGAGATCTAGACAATGGGATGCATTGGCAGAGTATGGCTATATGATCTGGTGTGGATAAGCCTTTCCCGCTATATATAATAGACTGGAGAGCAGAGCAATGGGTAGGTTGTTGGAGAGGGAGAGAGAGAGAGAGGGATCAGAGGTGGTCAGAAGTGCAATGCGTGACGAGGTTGGTATCAGTTATCTATCCTCCATGCACAGCGATGACGAACCGGGGCGGGTGGATTTGGACAGCTTGGCTTTAGTTTGGTACGTTGCTACTTGCTAGCAGCCTCAACTCAACCCCCACACTCTCTGTCTGTCGTATTCAATGTCTTTGTTTCTTTTTTGCATCTTCGTCGACTCAACACACACACACACACAGACAACACTTGCTGTACGTGTGTACCTCCATCGGCGGGCGGGATTGAGCAAGGTCCACGGCGTTGGACATTTATATAAATTTGACACCCAAGAGGCAACAATCGAGGTCGACATGAAATGATGCGACGGGTGATCTCCAACTAAGGAGAAAGTCGGTAACTGTGGGTAAAGGCACCTGAGGATCGCGGGTACCTGTCAACGGGAGGGACTATGTGGGGGGTACCTTGGAGGGACTCTCCAACTTCCACTCACTTACACGCCCACTTACACGCTCCCTTGAAGACATGATAATTAATTCCATCAAAATTGCATTAAAGCTCCAAGATGGCACTCTGTCTCGAGAGAAGTCAGACAATAGTGAGGGAGGGATCAATAGGGTGGTGGGCAGGACCAGGGGACCTCAGCCTGCACTCTGCCAGCCAGCCAGCCCTATTGTGTGGGCTAGGTAGACTACCCAGGTATTGTTCTATTGTGCTTCGACTCTGTTCTTATTGTCCCCTGACGTTGAATTCATCTGAATACAAGACTCGTCCTGCCCAGTCCCTGACTGCCGAGAATCCTCCTACTTAAAGGCCACCACTTGGCTCCTCCTCTCCTTCCCACATCTCTCCCTCCTCACTTCCTCACCTGCCCCGTCGCAGCATCCTCTTCTTTCTCGTTCCGTTCAATCTCCCTCAGTTCTGAAACCTGATCAACAAGGACATCCACCAGCCAGTGATCTCTGCCGGTACCATGGATCCAAACCAGCAGTTCACCTGCCACCAGTGCGAGGGCGAACCTCCCGTCTTCGAAAACATGAGGGAGTTCCTTCATCACATCGGAGACATGATCGACGCCCGCAAGGGCCACATGTCCTGTCCCTACTGCAAGCTCAAGCACCGAACTCAGCTCGGCCTCTTTGAGCACATCAAGCAGGTAAGCCCAGAGAGTCGCACCGGCCCCAGGGCTGTCTTAATACCCAATGGCAAGCGTGCTCATCAGCATCATACCTAGACACACCCAGCAAAGCAGAGCCTTAGATGCCCGGGATGCTCTGGCTATTTTGACCGTGCCTCTCGCTTGCTGCGCCATATCGAGAAGCGCCGGTGCCTCCTCATCACTCTCGACGACATTGTCCGCCGTCGCAAGGAGAAGACCGACTTCATCGAGGAGCTGAACAAGCGCGAGGGCCCCAACGGAACCATTCTCTTCCAAGTCGGAAAGCTCAACACTTCTCGCAGCTTTGCCCAGTACATCGGCGCTCCCGACAATAGAGCCACTAGACAATATGGCGAGCCTCTATTCTCCGGACAGTTGACCGCAGGCAACCTCGTCAAGCTGCAAGACCAGCAGGCGGATGTGAGCACCCCTGCTTCGAAGCCCGGTGCCATCCTCTACCCGCATGCCGCAGCAGACCGGCTTGAGGGAAGCCCGACCACCGAGACCGCAGGCACGCCTCCTGGACGAGATATGCCCGTCCAAGAGGGCACCGCTGCCTCGACCATGGTCCCTTACAGCCCGGACAACCCCGACTTCAATGCCATCAACTTCTTTGACCCCACTGCCCGGGCCTACCATTGCCCACTTCAGTGCAGGTAGGTTCCTCTCCACGCTGGCCCGCCATCATGCGACTCGCACGGTGGCAGCCTCCATCAAAGAGACTACCGTGGACTGGCCAAGCTGACGAATGCTTGTGTATAGGGAACGTTTCACCACCCCGCAAACTCTTGTCGCGCACATGCGGTCATCGAAGCACGTCAAGCTCCATTTTACGTGCCCAATCTGCCTGAAGAAGTACGACAGTGCTTCTAGTCTTCTCGTCCACACCGAGTCGCAGTCCAGCCGGTGCCACTTCCGCGGCTCCGCCTCGTACCGCCAGTTCGTTGACCAGCTCACGGGAGGTCTCATCGACGTGACGGGCATCCTCGACGACGAGACGATCGAGTACTCGATCAGCAAGGACGCCCTGCAGAAACTCAGGGCGGCCGACCAGAGGGACTACGACGAGCTCGAGCACGACTTCTGCGAGTCGTACGGCCTTCCCCTCCCCCACGAGAAGGTCAAGGCTGTCAGCATCAACAGCCTCGATGAGAACAAGGTGGTCGAGGAGGAGCGGAGTGTCTGGTAGATACACAATCAGTGTGGTGTGGCAGGTGGGATGGCAATGAATGGGCTTGATGCATGCACAAAGGAGAGGAACGAGGGTGGGTTAGGGGGGGCCCCATTGAGATAGGATACCCCCAAGGAGAACATTCTACGGAGCAAGAGAACTGTTCAAATGGAGAGCTTGGGAATTGTCTTGATAATGAACAGACAGCCTGATGATTGTGTTAATGTGCTGGTGTGTAAGCTGGGGAGAGGTGCACCTTGCCACGCTCATCTTGTGTTGCTGCTTCCTCTGAATCCTTGCCCTGGCTCTTGAAAGACATGGTCAATATCAAGTGAGTAGCCGAGCATGTTCTTGGTAGTGCGGTTGTGGTCCTAGTCGTCGTCATCATCCTCATGCACTGCCACTTTTCTCAGCTCTCAGCTCACTGGCAATGCAGGCAAGTACCTTAGAAGGAAGACATTGTTGGCGCATGACCTTGATCATGGAAACTGAGCGTACATCTGCAATCACTAGATGTATATGGCGTGAAACTTGGGTTCCATTCTGTATTGTAGGAGGATAGTCAAGTTCACGGAGACCAAACGTCGACTCAGACAGGGCTGACAAGGACAAGCCGCCCGAATTAGAGCAGAGCCTCCAGGGCTAGGTACATGCTGCACCTGCTGAATGTTCCCCTGGCCGTGTTTGGCCGACCCACAAAACCCCGTGCTGGAGCTGCCTAGCGCCTCTTTTTGGGTCATACCTACCTACAACTACAAGTACTAAGCCACCCCAGCTGCCAGGCTAGCCTTAGAGGCTTCCACTCATGAACCAACTTGGAACGACACCCAGGGCACCCCTGATCAATAAAACAATCCTTCCAAGTTACCACCAGACGCCGCGCTCACTCCCACCTCACTCCCACACCATTTCCCCAACCATCCGACCTTCACTTTGCGATTCACTCGTTTCAAACACTCCCGTCAAACACTCCCGTCAAACCCTCCCGCCCTATCCGGCATGTGCTGCGAGACACTCGACTCTTGACTTTCTTGTCTCTGCTTGTCGCCAAACCCCAACGCGCATGGAGCCGTGCTCACCATCTTGCCCAAGGTAATGGACACGACATCCTACTCGGACCCTGACACCTTCAACACAATGTCGCTGGCCGTCCGCCGCTGGGCCCGGAGGGTCGAGCGTTACTGCTGCACGGCCCTGACCTACTTCCCTCTCGCCTTCGTCTACACCCTGACCACATGGGCCTGCTGGGTCGCCGTCACCATCGGCACAGTCACCACCAACTCGGCGTGGATCGGCCATACCACATCCCTCGGCGCCGTCCTCCTCTATGCCCTCCTCAACTGGTCCTACACCACCGCCGTCTTCACGCCCCCCGGTAGCACCACAAACGACTACGGCTACAGCACCCTGCCCACCCACGCACCCCCCTCCGCGACTACCACGTCCCTGACTGTCAAGTCCAACGGCGAGCTGCGCTTCTGCAAGAAATGCCAGGCCCGGAAACCCGACCGGGCACACCACTGCTCCACCTGTCGCCGCTGCGTGCTCAAGATGGACCACCACTGCCCCTGGCTGGCCTCCTGCATCGGCCTTCGCAATCACAAGGCCTTCCTCCTCTTCCTCGTCTACACCTCGCTTTTCTGCTGGTACACTTTTGCCATCTCTGCTACCTGGGTCTGGACCGAGATCCTCAACAACACCACCTACGTCGACACGCTGATGCCTGTTAACTTCATCGTCTTGTCTGTCGTCTCTGGCATCATCGGTCTCGTTGTCTCTGCATTCACCGGTTGGCACATTCTCCTGGCGACCAGGGGCCAGACCACCATCGAGTGTCTCGAGAAGACGCGCTATCTCTCCCCGCTGCGCAAGACCCTGCACAACACCTACAACGCCCACCATGGAGCCAACGGCGTACCTCTACCCGGCTATGGCCAGCAGCTCCTCGACATGCACCAGAACATGGTCCCCGGTGTGACTCGCCCCGAGGAGGGTGAAGACGCAGACTCGCGCTCTATCACCCCGCTGCCCTATTCAGCACCATCCCGGAATGGTCCCACACAGACCGGCGCCCTGAGTGCCGAGGACCAGATGGGTAGACGATTCACCTATGACGAACTCGAGCGGTATCGCGCTCGCAAGCGCTACGAAGAGTATCTCGACGAGCAGGACTCGCAAAAGCTGCCCCATGCCTTCGACCTTGGCCCCCGTCGGAATCTGCTTCACCTCTTTGGTCACAACCCTTGGCTGTGGCCCTTCCCTTTTAGCACGACCACCGGCGACGGCTGGAGCTGGGAGCCCAACCCCAAGTGGATCGATGCCCGTGAGCGCATCCGCCGCGAGCGTGACGAGCAGAGGCAGCGCGAGCAGGCCGCAGGCTGGGGCATGCCCGATGACGGCAGCCCCTTGCCCTCCCCGGGCTCGGTGCAGTGGTTGACGGACCACGTACGGCCTCCTCCTCAACACCAGGGCGCCGGCAGGCACTATCTCCAACCCGACGCCTCACTTCCCAGCCCGGCTCCGAGCAGCGCCGGACGCCGCACCCCTTCCAAGGCCGACTGCATCCTGGGCCGTGATCCCAACCTCTACGCCGACGAGCAGCCCGTGTCTATGAAGCGGCTCAGCCCGGCGACAGGCCGCGCCCTCTACGGTGACGATGACCTCGAGGATGACGATGATGGAGACTTGCACGACGCCAAGGAGGTGGATGGTCTCGTCTCCCGCGCGGACGACGACGACGCCGAGCGCCGGGCGCTCAACCTGGTGACCAACGGTGGATGGGACCGCCGAGCAGGTGCTAGCGGCCTCCTGCGCAAGGGCTCCGTCTCGCCTACCAAGGGCCTGGGTGGCAGTGCCAGCAACGGCCACGGCCACGATGAAGGCGTGGACTAAAGGAGATGATGAACAATGGCCATCGTCATCGAATGAAAGCAAGAGAGGTGGCGAAAAAAGGATGGGCATTTGATGGAAACCACAACTTTGGTTTGAGATGAATCGATTGCGTGTGTGCACACGCGCGCGCACGCCTGTGTATATCAAGGGCTACTACTACGTACGTTTGTTACGACTTTTGCTTGCATGGCCAGAGGCGTTTTGAGGGCTCTTTGCCTTATCTGTTTGTTTGTCTTTTTTTTCCATTTACTTCTTCCAGATCCTGTTCTTCTTTTCCTGCCCCACGGCAGAGCATGGAAGGAAGGAAGGGATATATCACCAGTCTCATGGTCAACACGTGGTTTCGCGTTCTGTTATATGCTCCATAGTGACCCTGCAGGGCAATGCGGTGGTCTTCATATCGTATTCGAGGCATGGATATTCACTTGATCCAGTGTCTCGACATCTGTCTAAATAATATGAGGTCGACTTTTCATCATGCATGGGGACAAATGTGCTGGCAGAATGGAGCCTTTGACCTCATCTACAGGCGACGATGCCTGCCTCTTTTTCGACACTTTCAGAGCTCGAACCCGAGTTCAATCCGTGTCTAGCTTATCTATTCCAACACATCCAGTCTTGAACAATACTTGTTGTGAAGCAAATCACGCATACTAATCACACCGCACAAAGGGATGGCAGGGCCGGGCCCCTTGGAAGCCTTGGTGACCATGGAAACATCTTTTGTTCATAATGGATTTGAATTTGGTGATGTGCAGCGCGAGCCACCGGTATGTTTATCTCATGTCATGCCTGATGCAATATGCTATGCCGAAAACCCGCAACTGCGAGGCGAGTAACGAAAAAAAAAAAAAAGAAATTGAGGGGGTAAATCAAAGTGCTGTGTGTCGCTGGGCAAACAAATTTCAGATAAGAGCAAAAGACGCCTCCCATTCCCTGGTTGTCGAAAAAGAATCTCCCAAAAAATGCATTGGGGAAAAGAAGTTCATTTGAGAAAAAAGGGGGCCACTGAACCGACATTCTTGATCAAAGTCAGAGAACTTTTGGTAGAGCGGGTAGAGAAGAAAAGTGAGAGAATGAATGATAACAAGTCCTAGCCCTCGAGGCTCTTCCACCACCACCCTAGCTGCGCGCAGCGCCGTACATGGGAAACAAGACGGATCCGCGTATCCTGCGCTTTCCGAACCAGAATCCGCGCCCTTCCTCGAGCTTCCTGCTCCGTTCTATACTAAGATCATATCTTTTCTCCAGCATGGCGACCCAAGCGGGCCCCGTTGCTGTCAAATAGGACCCTTCCAGGGTATGAAGATAGTATCATGACCGTTCAAAAGGTCCAGAAAACGCAAAAAAACAACAAAGAAACTTTTTTTACATTTTGTACCCCCAGCTCTATAGTCATCAAGGTCATGTGTTGTATGAAGCGTTGTTGCTTGATGGATCGTGATGCACTGTCGTCACTGCGACGCGGCAAAAAGGAGCTTCGAGAGTATCTTGCTGATAGATAGCGAGCTGCAGGGAAGCGCCGATGAAGCTTCCATCAAGGTGATGAGTGAACAAAGGAAATCGCAAAGTTGAAAGCCTCGAATTGCGCCGCTTCAATGTGAATCTTCCAAAAGGGGTATTTCGCAATAAATCCAAGATTTCGAAACGATGGTGGATCTTTGGTTAAGCCGTAGTTGCTTCAGCCCAGATGGGCATAAAGATCAGATAGAAAATGGTTGTTGGTAGTACACAACGGGAAACACTTCTTGAGTGTCCCCGTGAAGAAGATGAGAAGGACGGAGTACAGTGGCATGGCTACGCAGGTGCGTGATTAGAAGGATTGCGCGCCATCAAGGCTCGTCTTGGGGCTCATGTTGGCCGAGCGGTTGAAGACGGTTCTGCCAATGGTGCGGAGTTTGTTCGTATTCTCCGGAGCCTCTTCGGAGTAGTCCACGTAGATGCTCGTCGCGCTATTGACCTTGATGCGACAAAACAGGGTCGAGAAGAGGTACTGGTCGGCATTGTTGTCGAGAAGCGGGATGGTCCTATAGCCCTGTTTGAGACTGCTGAGCTTGGCGGTGTAAGTGCCCAAAGTGTTGATGCTGTAGGCGCCATTCTCCGCCAGCTTCACGCTCCATCGCACAAAGATCAGATCTGGGTACTTGGTGGTGATGTTGAAGACGAAGTTGCGCTGGAATATGGGGTTGAAGCCGTTCTCCCGGACTATCTGAGTGCGGAACTTGGTTTGGTTCTGACCGGTATGAGAGCTAGTCTCGTCCGAGTCATTCTTGTCGTCAGGGATAAAGACCTCAACCTCGACATAGGGATCCAAGCTGCGCTTCTCTCCAAAGTGGAGGGGCCGCATGAGTTGCTGGGCGGAGATGACATCGACAGTGAAGTTGACGTTCTTCCGCTCCCTCTTGCCCTCCCAATGCCCGGGTAGATTGGGCAAGACCTGGATCTCGCGGAATTCCCTGGGTTTGAGCACATAGCCAGACTGGTCCACACCGCCAGCGAACATGGCTTGGTTGATTTGCATGCCGAGATCGAAGGTTTGCCAGTTGAGAGCAGCCATCTGCACGCCCTTCTTCCAGTAAGCCAGCGGGTTGAAATTCGTCGACGTGATTCGTGTCTGATTAGGATACACGCGCATCAGGTGACGCATGTTGTGGCGGAACAGCGCTCGTTTTGACTCCCGCGGCTTGCCGTGCTTGGCAAATGTGTTCTCCATGAACGAGAGAACGTGGTTGAAGGTCTTGCTCTCTGGATCATCAAACCCATTGAACTTAATGCCGACACAGTAGACACCCAAGTCTCCGAGCTCCGGTACAATCTTGCTTTGCTTCTTCCTTCCCGAGCTCTTCTCGCTTCCGCTGTCATTGTCACTTGTGCTGCTACTAGGAGCATCGTGGACTTCGCCTTCTGTGATGGTATCAACGCGTGTTTTGGAACTCGCTTTCCGCGCAGATCCGTTCGGACTCAGCAAGGGGCTGTTGGGAAGATATTGCGGAGGGATGATCGAGTTGTCAAGCGCAACTGGCTTGGGGTACGGGGAGGTGAGGCTGTTGCCCCGTTTGCGGCCGTTCGTCTCAACAGGTTTTGGCGGCTCGACTTGCTGCGGCTTCTTTGCTTTGATAAGAATACGGTTCTTGAGCTCCGAGGGCGTTGGGAAGCGATCCTGAGCACCAGGTAGTGGTTCAGTGACTAGTTTGGCTCCGAAGATGTCTTTCATAGTCTTGGCCATGGTCCTCTGTTGCTCCGGGTTGCAGTGGACCTCGAGAGAGATCCACAGAGGGAATTGAGACTTGACAAAAGCGTATTTGTTGATAGTGTTGATGACCTCACGAAAGGAGATGCGGGAGGTCCAGGTCTTTCCGTGCACAACCTGTGGCTCTCCATCATTGCCGTCCCAGCAGTCGATCTCGACACATCGGCAACCACGCATAAGGGCAGCGATGTAGCCTTCAACGCTCGAAATACCCATAACCTGGCGACCCAAGAGATAAGTATTGTGGGAGCTCGATATAAAGTATTCATTGATAGGCCGGTTCAGCTCGTAAGCATCGGGCTCCTTGGCGATGGAGACATTGTATGTCGAAGTAAGGAAACTCGACAGGGCGGCCTCGGACATCCGAGGCGCGACGTCCTCGGCCGAATCCTTCGCGTCTGCCTCCTTGAGCTTTGAGCGGCGAGCGAACCGAAGAAAAACGTTCTCCCAGGTGGCGAGGGATTGGTCGACGTTCTCGCCTTGTTCGTTGCGTAGAAAGTCGAGAAACTCATCAGATGTCAGGCCGGAATCAGGGTCCGAAGCAATTCTGCGGTAGATACCACGAATGTCCTCGCGGCGTTTCATGAGCCTCACAAACTCCTGAAATTGAGCAAAGTCAAGGCGTCTCGTGGAAGTCGCATCAGCCTCGTCGAATTTGGACTTGAGCGTCTCGGACGAAACATGGATGTGGAGGTTGCGGCACACCCTCTCGACTCCGGCAAAGTCAATTTCCTCGTCGTCGACCGAGTGGGGCTTATCTGCGAATTGTTTCTTCATTTCGCGGGCCCAATAGGCTCTGACAGCCTTGTCATTGAAAGACATCAGGGAGGCGATCGAGTCCTGCCGGTGCTTGTAGATAGCGTCCAGAGTCATCGTCCAGTTGCCGAATGCCTCCTCATCATCGGCGATGAGATGCATCATTTTGGTCTGGGATCGGTCCGGTACAGTGTAGAGTATGGTGAAGAAGAAACGATTCTCCTCCGCCTTGGGGTCGATGTTGAAGTCGAGGAGATATTGTCTGATATCATCTCCGGTCCGAATCTCCTTGATATCGTCAATGTAGATAGACTTCCATGGGCGGGTTCGGTCCCACGTAATCTTTGCCGAATCTGGCTCAAGAACGAGCAGGATCCGCTTCCCTTTGTTCTTTTTCGAGACTTTTCTTATGCCAGTCCCCTTGAGAAGAGCAAGAGGGATGACGGGCCCTGCTTGAGCACCAGAGACATAAGCAGCAGACGCAGGTGCGGGTGCGCTCGTCGGTGAAACATCGGGACCGGCACCATCGAACATGCTTGCCACGTCGTCCCGTTCGTCACCCTCATCAGAATCCGTATCGAAGGGCTGTGGTAGATTCTCAGGTGGAGCTGTGTTGTTGCTGTCGCTTCTTCGACGAAGAATTGCAGGGCCCACGCTACCATCGCGGCTGTTCGGTTGCACAGATGAGGTCCGGCGTCGGCCCATTGCCTTGGCTCGGTTAGACAGCCTCCTGATGAGATTCCCTTTGCCCATAACCTCATGCATGGCACCTTGGCCGTTGAGCAGAGGCTGCGAGAGCGAGTTGGCACTCGTCTTGCGGGTGAGAATGGACTCTGGAAGCTGAAAGTTTGGTGCCGGGAACTGCTCCATGTCCCTCCCACGGAGTGGCTCTGGTGAGGGGACCATTGAGCTGCCCGTGGTCAATCCCGCCATGTTTGGAGACATGATGGGAGAGCAGTGTGAGCTAGAAGCAACAGACGAAGTGCTCACAGCAGAGGCTGGGGGGATGGCTACAAGTTGTGAGTGCGGTGTGATAGAAGTTTGTACGTTGCCGGGGCGCGAACGCCTCGACTGTACTGTCTGAGGGGGCATGTTGTGCGGGTTTTGAGGAAGTGCAGAGGTAGGGATATCACGGCCAGTATTGGTCGTGGGCGACATGACCGCAGGCTTGTGGTGGGACACCTGCCGGCGATCCTATCTCCTTTGGCCGTGTTCCCAGGACTTATGAAAAGGGGCAAAGTCCGGTCCGACTGAAGCAGCAAAACATTTATATGGATAAAAGTATTGTTGGCCGCATGTCTGATAGAGAGGAATGCCTTGTCCTGCAGGGAGCATATATGACAGAGGGGATAAGAGGTCAAGTGACAGGTGTAAGTGAAATGAGATCTGATTCAACGAGAAAAGAACAAGATCCTCGGGGGTAACGCCGTTTATGAGCTGGACGAGTGGAATTGACTGGCGAGATTGCTGCAAGTGCACGATGATGAATCGAGTTCCCCTCGAGCAGGATAGCCAGCGGCGCAGAAGGACGGCTTGTTCTTTGCAGGTATACTCTGTGTACAGGTACGGCACGAGACCCAGGTACAGACGCACAAGCGGCTGGCGAATATCTGGGGGGGATGGGGCGGGTATGGGCCGTCTGGAGATGGCTCACGGCAAAATGGTGAGGTGGCAGGACGTATGCACGTCGCTGGATTCGGGTAACACGCAGACTAGAGGAATGACTTGCGTCTCACTGGCCGGCAGCGATGACAGCTGCAGTCCGATGGACGCGCAGCTCCTATGTTCTGCGAGTCTTTGCGACGAGGGCTTCGCGAGTCGCAGCTAGTGGTCGAGGGACCCTCCAGATATGGCCGTCGAACCGCAAGCTGGGACAGGACCAGGCCCTCCCAGAGTATTTTCGTTTTGAATGCAAGGCTGCGCAGCAGCTAAATCGAGACCGTCAGCCAAAAGCAGAGTCCGGGGCGCAGCGCCAGGCGCAAAGACAGTAGAATAACTGTGCGCGCTCGCGCTCGCGCAGGCGCTCCCCCCTTGAGGCGGGTATGCTACGAGCGCAACAACAGGCTCCCGGGGACTCTTGTCGTCTCAAACCGAATAGACACACAACCAGCAGGTCGGCAAGCCGGGGTTTTGGCAACTCCAACAGGATGGCACAGAGAAATCCGAGGCGTGGACACGAGAGGCGTGGACACGAGAGGCGCGGGCCGGGCGGACGAGACGGGCTGAGCAGAAACGGGCGGGTGAAAGGTGCTCCTAGGGTGTTCAGGTAGTTTGAGTGTATCGAGGCAGGAATTAATTTCCCCTCTGGCAGACCAGGTTGTGGGAGACCAGGGGAGGTGACTTCGAGGAGAGGACACGGGCTGAGAGAGAGGCAGTCGAGCTCTGCTTTTTTATGTTGGAAACTCTATCCGAACGTGGTGGTGCTACTATTGCAGGTGTGGTAGTCGTGGAGGTGGTGGTGGTGGTGGTGGGTGGGAAGGAACGTCGCGGGCGGGAGTTTTCTTTAAGTGCAATTGCGATACGGTGGTGGCTTTGGGAAACCGTGCCCGGGAAATTATTGGTGACGGGGCGGGAAGGCGTGGTCTGGCATGGGCGGCGTGGTGGTGGACATGGGGGGTCCCATCGAAATGGAGCACGAGAGAAGGAGAGAAGAAAAAAGAGGAAGAAACACGGCTAGGGATTGACATGGGACGAGCATGGATGGCAGAACCCCCCAGTATTCCAGTACCTATTCCTTTACGGATACCTAGGTACTCCATGCCTTGCTTCAATTTCGTGTACGGTACCTTACGATGTGCGTGTACTTGGACAAAGCAGAGAAGAGTCACGACGAAGCTTGGACTACCTCCAGAGCAGGTACCCTACAAGATTACCCAAAATAACAGGACACCAGAATAGCCACACCGTACCTGAATATGCTTCCATCACAGGGGGGGATGGGCGGACCAGAAGCCATGGAAGACAAGAATGACGGTGAGTGGAGGCAGCGAGCGAGGGAGGACCCAAGGGAACCCTTGAAAGAAAGCCTCAAAATGAGGAATAACCTTGAACCAAGACGAAGCTACTCTAGGTACGAGCTTCCGGCAAACGATAATAGGGCCGGGCACGCATTTGCTGACTGGTCTGATGCGTTTTGAACGGACTGAATGGGGGAGACATGGGATAGGAAAGAAAGAGAAAAAAAAACTGGGTTTGGGGCTACGTCGAAAGAGTCATCCAAAGTATTGGGTACCGGATACCGTCATCGGGTTCTGCGGGACAGAGCCGCTTTGACAGCTGGGCCCAATACCACACCCCAAGTACCTGGGACCACCATCAAGGGTACAGAACCACCACTGTCGCAGAGCGAACAAAGAATAAGCGAGCGACACAGTGACGGGATCCTTTGGAACTCTTTTTCTTTTCTGGGGGGACCCGGGCTTAGAGCCGAGTGTTGGACTGGACTTCAGGTTCATTAGGGCAGACCCAAGAGACCAGCATACCTATCCGACTATCCGGCAGGGCTCAATGGATCTCTTTTTTCTTGGTCCTTTCCCTCAGGCACACCTGGTTGTCTCGTACGGAGTACGGAGTATCTCTCCTATCCATACTTTTTTTTTTTGCGCTGGCAGAGGGGCGGGTGGAGAGAGAACCAAGACCAAAACATCGACGTACTCCGTACCTCCATGGCTAGGACGGCACCAAATCCGGCGGGACTTGAAGGGTACGGGTGTGGCATTGATGACCAGGATCGTCACTGGGAGTGGGGAAGCTTAATGACGGTCTCTGGTTCCTGCAATTCTCTCATCCCTGGCGGGCGAAAACAGGGCCCGGCGACCCAGATGTGGTGGCCTGGCGGCCAGCCCTGGTGCGAAAAGAGCTTTCAGGGGCTCAGCTCCCAAAAGTACCTCCCAAGTCGCGAGCCCCAAATGGCTGCCCATTGGCGCTACCGAGTGAGGTCAGTCTGGCCTGTGAGCGTCAGGTACGAGGTCCGGAAGGCAGCTAAGGTATGACGGTTGGATGATCCGCGAGGTAGTATCGGTACTTGCCCCCTTGAGAGCGACCTTGTTCTTGGCCTGACCTTGCTGGCAGAACCTCAGATGCCATCCGGCCAGTCTCGGTGTGTTTTGCTGACCCATCGGATTCCATACGAGGTTATCCAGCACGACTTGCCGTGTGAAGTGTTGCTCCTTCACTCACCCGCCCGACTTCCTCTCCTCGCTGGGTCGCAGATCTGCTCGGATTGTACTCGTAGGGCAGGCCAGAGTCAAGGAGTAATGCACGCTAAGTCAAACAGATCGAGCGAGAGAAGGTTAATTGCTGAAAAGAATGCAACTGTCGCACCGCGGCGGCGGCGGCCTGTCAAGATCCCATTCCACAAAATACGACCTAGATGCAGATGCCAAAGTAAATGTCCCCTCCATACCTGGGTACTCGAGTAAGATGGGTACTTGACGGATGCCCATCTGGTGGTGTTCTTATCAGCAGCCAAACACCGGTCCAGTAAATGCATAGCCCGGGAGGTACTCAAGCCCGCGAAGTGTTTATTTGCGCATCCTCGCGTACATAGCAAGATGTTCCAAGTTGCGGAGTCCAGAGTGATAATGGGCTGAGGAAGAATGATCTTGCGCCTCTTTACCCTGGAGTCTCATTACTGAACAGCATACGGGATTATCCCACAAAGTTAAGTTTGGGTCCACCTGGGAGTTCAATTGCTGATGCATGATGCCTACTTGTACTTGTATTTTTCTCTTGACCTTATGTACAGAGTAGGTGTGTATGGAGGTAGCTTGTACACCCATTGCAGACCAGGACAGCCTCAGCACACCAACAAGGCCATACCCTGCGGTCGATCAATTCCACCTCACTGGGGAGTGGACAAGGACCTGCCCAGTTTTGCAAATTCAGGGTTTGTGGGAGTTGAGCTCTCAGCTATCATCGTGCGTAGGTCACCAGAGATCTCCCGGCTGTGCATGTATCATATCTGCCCAGGTGGATATGGAGCAGGCATTCACAGTCCATCCTGCTTCCAGAGTTCTTCTGGAGGACACAGGAAGAATGCTGACGTCTCATTGTGGAGGGCGTCGAGTCGGGGCACGCAACAATGACTGAACCGAGGCCCCGGTAGGGCTCTCGTGGCCGGACTGGTCGGCAGGCGGAGGATGCACGTAGAGGTACCGAGTAGCTCTACCAATCCTTGGGAGGCTCCGGGTGAGAACTGAACTCAGCTGAGCATATTTTCGGGGCATTTTCACCTTTGCCCAACTTTACCATTGTTTGTGCTCCTCTGTGGGGGATGCGACGGTCCGTCTTAGCCTCCAAAGTCAAAAAGCACCACTAGCACAGTTTCATGTGTTTGGTCGGCTCCTCTCTCCACCACAGGTACGAAGTACAAGTCGCTCGAGATAAGTACCTACCTACATTACTTGTGATCCATCTAGTAGGGTCAAGCGCAGCCAGCGTTCCTGACGCGAGAAAGGGGCCCTTGGCCTCGTCGTGTCCTTTCAAGCAGCCGGACAGCTTGGGTCTGCCTCGCCTCGACAAGATTGACGTTTGTTGACCCTTGATCATCATTGCGCTCCGGCTGAAATCAAGATGGCCATGCTGATCAGGGTTATGCGCAAATCTCCGTGTCGCATCATCCCAGGTGTTCCCTTCGAGCTGTGCTCCCCACTAAAAAAAAACACCCAGCAGTAGCTGGAATGGTGAGGTGGCCGTGGTGGCCTCGGCGTACTACCTGTCCATGGATGATGCTCATCATCCCATCGTCGTCATTCGTCATTTCGATCAGACTCCAAAGAGGTACCCTACCTCGCCCCAGAGTTCTGAGTTTGGGGGATCCTTCTTGAAACATCCATAGTAAGTAGGTAAATATTTTCGAGCCTGCCCCGGCCACCCAAATCCCAGCGCAACCGCCCCATCCATTCGGCGGCCAGATTGTGATACCGCCTCTTACAAGACTACGAAGACAGTACCAAATGCCGGAGATGCGGTGCTGCGCAGGTACCAGTACTTCCCACCCACGAAACACCCCTGGCAAGTGTGGAATATTCTGAGAATGCAGCCTTGTCGTAATCCCTGTCTGGGCCGGCTCCACACACCAGACCACATTGGGATTCGCACATGTTTCCATTTTCAAAGTCTGGGAAAACGGAGAACAGTCGACACGTCGCCCGCCG